TCCAAATAAAATTCGCAAATTCCCAACGGGTACACTCTATTTTTCTATTTACTAGCGAAACAAAATTTTTGTAAAGCTCGATATTAATGATCCTACCAAATGCATCAGGTATACGATTAAAAAACCGATGAATTCATTCACTCGCATTAGCATTTCAATACAGGTGTTTCAGTATTCGAAACGGAATGTCTGCACGTGATAAATTAATCTACAATACAACGGGAACTGTATATTTACAGTATGCGATACGGTGCGTTATTTTTATTGAAATTGGATTCACGTAAAAGTGCGAATGAAGCGAGTATATAATTGATGTACGTTTGACAAAGCCATTGATTATGAAACGAATTTCGTCGTGTTCGCATTTTTAATGAATGAATAATCGAACAGTCGTAAAGTTTTACTTAACAAAAGCAAAAGTATTGATCACTATGCTTTATTATTATTATTATTATTATTATTATTATTATTATTATTATTATTCGTACATGTTTATTTGAACAAAGATATTACACTGAAAATCACAGTAATCCCGGAGTGCGTATGACGAACAAACTTTTCAAATGGAAAACAGCAAATCTCATATCACAATGCGGTACAGTGAATGCATACTTGAAAATGGGTTTTGGCAGGAAGCCATTAATGGTCGTTCGTTATTCATGCACCCATTTATTACTAGTAGTCTCTTCCAATCTCATGATACGATAGCTATTTCCATATCAGCATATTTCGTCTTCGTGCAGAGCCTTTTTTAAACATTCATTTTATTAAACTATGCGCCCGAAGTTTATATTATTTAATGAGCTATCTTTTTAGAAAGGTTATAACAATAGACTCATAAATTCACAATGTGATCGATACGTCTATATAATATAAGAATGACAAAACGAAAGTCGACTTGATTAATTCAGACTAATTTGCCTGTTCAAGTTTCAATCGATCCTTCCGGAATATACATTGCGACGTGTCGACATCTACATAGTATCGATTTTGCAGGATCAACGTGATGATCAGGTAGACCGACGTTATCCTGCATAAATATACCAGCACTTAATCCGCTGCGTATATTAAATTGACTTATTGACATGTATACCTCGTTGTATAGACAATGAGTTATGGCGCGCTTGTACTTAACGAAAGCCAAATGATGTGCGCGCTAATGAATAAACATTTGCTAATTAATTGTCTTTGCCGAATGCAATCGATATATGCATTGAGGAATGAAAAAACATGGATATGATATTTTCAATCTTTCAATTTTGATTTCAATCTCGCACGCGCACTACTATTTTCACACAGAGTATTGCACAATGGAAAAGCTTGGCTAATAAATTTTCGGTCACATTGCGAGTCTGTTGAAAGAAAAGTCGATGCCAAATTTGACACGAAGCCACGTCAATATGCTTCACTTGAGATTCTTCCGGAAATCAGTGCCAAGATATTTTTAGTCTGCACTTGAAGTTATAGCGGTAAAAATGAATAGCTTGAAATTACTTAAACTCGATTGAAAAAAAAAAGAGAAAGTCACTTGACTTCATGATAGCCTTTGTAGATGGAAATGTATGCACGTGCTACTTTTAAAAGTATTTCCTTTTTGAAAACGGCGAGTGTTAATGAAGTATCAAAATTAGATACACCTAGGAAGATAAAAGTTTTAAAGCTTGGAAAAGATTTTGAACACGTATAATTAGTCCCGATTCACGGTGATTATTCTAAATTTACAGTCCCAATGGAAAATGAAACTGATGTTTAATTTAAACGTTGAATCCGAAATCAATTCGAACTATTGATTGATTAATTATGATCGAACAACGCTCGTCGTTAATAATAATAAATTCAAGGTACAGTGAGTTTTGTACGTGCCACGTGTTACTCTACGAGCATCTAAAATAGACATGAAATTCATTTGTCCGACTGGCACACCTTCCATCTTCGGTCAGATATATACACCGCCATGTATATACTTTCACCTCTGCAAAAAAAATCGAAGAGTTCAGTTGGGGTCAAAATGCGCGACATGCTCTCTCTCTCTCTCTCTCTCTCTCTCTATTTGAGCCCGATTATCTTGGTGCAGCTGCTGCTTCCGTTGCCTCACTATTGAATTATGGACATTTCAATTTTGGACGTGAAAGCAAGTGAGGTGCGTGGCTTGATTCATTGTAGGTCGGGCTGCTCTGCGGCGATGCGTCAATTTTAGACAACCAACATACTGTCAATTGTTACTTCCGTACATCCGTTTTGGCTTTGAGATAATATTACAAAAAAATAATAATACTTCTGCATACTGTGTCGATGGATAATCCAATCTAACAGTACTTTTCGCAAGGTTGTAAATGTTACAGTAGTCAATTGTAATTGGAAAGTTAAAACTCAAGAAATTTCTCTTAATTGAATTTCAATAGTTGTATTCGTGAAAAATAAAGTTACTATTTTCCATAGCAAAATTCTTTTTTTTCGTAAGAAGTGCTTAATTCCATCAAAATCGTAAAAAGCCGTTTATTTAAAATAGTAAACAGAGCAGAGTAGTGGAAAACGATGAAGTCGTATATACCAGCAGCTATCAAAAGCAAAAATCAAGAAAAAAAAGGATCAAAATGTCAATTGCGAAAAAAATCTGAATTGTAGGCCATAAGGGGGAGCCGCTCCGTTAAAAAACTGAGCAAACAAGCGCGCGAGCAACAGAGCATTTAGCAAATGAACCAGTTCGCTTTCTCTGAAGTTGCTGGCCTACGACTATTAAAACGAAAAGCAGCAGCCACGCGTGGTGTGCAAAAGCCCAAAGCGTGGTTTGCTGCCGCTGCACTGCTACATGTTTAATTCAGTGTCGACGGTTCAGCGAGGTAGAAACCTAGCATTTAGCACTCAGCCTCGAAGCTCGTAATATGACGCACAAGCCGCTGACTCGCGGCTAACACGATCAGTTACATTCGACGTGAGCGACGAGAGACAAAGCCACTTTGATGTTGTAAATTGCATTTCGATCGTTGCGAGAAGCAATTGTATACGTAGATCTATGGATTAAAGATTTATTGTAATTTTATATGATAAATGAAGGTCCGAGAAGCACTTTGAGACAATGTAATTTTTTTTTGCTTTTATCCAGATTTCTCTTTTATTCTTGATTACGAAGGATAGTAAATGCATATTCTCAAAGCGAACGGCCTTTTGAGGATTGGAATGACGCCGATTATCACGTTACGGGATTTCCCGTTTGACATTTTGATGGACTTTTGTTAAGTTGGACTTTTGAAATACGAATTTCAGAGAAAATGAATCACAGAGTAAAATGTTTCAGCAGTAAAACAGTAGGTATTGAAATTTGAACGAATGATTGAAATTGAAGATGGAAGATCATTCAGAAGATGCATGCATTTTCCAAATTCTCCAGTTTTCTAATTAAAAAACACAATATACAAGGAGTTTAAGAAATCATAGTAGGATAGGCTAAGAAGATTAGTATTAAACGTTAAACGATCTAATTACTGGTTTCGTAAGTAATACGTGGAAATAAAAAATTCATAAGACTTGAGGTAATAAAGTGACTCTTGCCCACGCTTCGCATACACTATCGCGCGCTTATCACTTAGAGAGAATTGGCTCTGGTATCTAGCAAGGATTAAGACGTCGTCGTTACCGTCGTGGCAAAGCTTAAACTTCAACTTTTGCCCAGAAGCAAGACCACCGCATTTGCCCCTTCTCCGAGCTTTCTAGTCTCTCGTCTCTCAAGGAACTATGCTTCACTGCATTTTACGTGGGATGCGCTAACGACGCGACGAAATCCGAAGAGGAACCTTGTTTCGATGATGTCAGTCTCTAGGCCATGTATTTTTCACGGGATATCAAATTTTTAAAAGCTTTTTTCTTAATTCGCGGAAAGGCACATAGTTTGAGAAAAAAAAGCGGTGGTACGTTGACTCGATAGCGTTACTTTATTAAAATGTAAAATGTTTTAAAAGTATTATCACGATCTAGGTCAGATTTAAATACAGGCATTTCAGTCGTGAGCACGCAACGCATTTTTTTAAATTTCTGCTACAAGCTACACAGACCTGATTTTTTGTTGTTGCACTTCGAAAAAGACGTATTTTGAATGTGAAGTCGAAAAAAAATGGCACGAGCAGAGTTTACTTTATTTTCTCGACTAGAAGTGCATGAAATACGTATTGTTTTAGAATATATAGAGATATATTCTGCTAAACTTTCTTTTCAATACTATACAATATTCTTGAACCGTGAAGTGTGAATTCAAATTGAAAAGCAAATGTTTCCAAGGTATCCGATTGATTTTGTTATTCTGCAGGAACTCACCCGAGCTGTTTCTTGAGTACATTGTGTTTATTTCTTCTTTGAAAAAAACTGCAAGTAAATGCAAGAATAGAATGGGTTTTTGTATAACTTTTTCAAACAAAAAGCTACATTTAACAAGATTAATGGAATACTACTATTTACAAATTAAAACAGGAACGATATATCAATTTTCCTAAAATCAAAATTATTTTAAATTTATGGATACCATACCGCTGTTTTATCGACTTTTTCTTTGGGGCATATTTTCTTCTAAAATACGTAACGGAGGACGTTCATGCTTCGGTTAATAATTAATTATTAGATATTAAAGCGAAGTATGGTCGACTTATTGATAAAATCGACAACAATTTTTTATTTCTATAGCAACATTTTATGGCGAGTGTTTATTTTTCTCAGATAAAATTATTGATCTAATTTTGTGTTAGAAATGTAATTTTTGTCAATTTCAACAACGAGTTCATCGTACTTTGCTTTATTATCTAACAATCAATTCTTAGTCGAAACATGAATGTCCTTCGATGCGTATTTTAGGAGAAAACACACCTCATAGAAAAAGTCGGTAAAATAAAAGTATGGCATCCCCTTAAAGCCCAAACGATACCACAAAAAAACAATATTGTATATCACATAAAAATATAAAATGAAAAGTGTAAAAAAGAAAGCGGTCGAATTGAAAATTCCTTTTTTTACAGGTACGCTAAAGTTCAGCGACGAATGCACAGAGGATCGCGAGTGCGGCTTCGACGGCTCTTATTGCGACCCTAAGGTTAGGAGATGTCTGTGCAGAGAAGAATTCCGCGCCACCAATCACATCGACAAATGCGGACACGGTGAGCTTTTATTCTCTCAACTATTTTCTTCTCGAACTTTTTTCTGCGGAATCGCGTGGAAAACTTCGTTCTTTTCTGTAGAATAAGTCAAACTCGAATTCCTTCATTGTGAAGCGATCTTTATCACGATACAGTCGTTACTACAATTTGAAAAATAATTATGAACAAGTACTTGATATAATTTAATCTCACTAAAAATTATTAAATCTATCTTTTTATTAAAAACAAGTGTCGGAAAATTTAAACGTAATTTTAAACTACTGGACTGCAAGCTTTCGTTCTGCTACAAAAACTTGCGACCTTTGTATTGTCGCGTTCAGTCTCTTAATTTTCCGTTATTAAAATTAATAAGGAGCTTCCGGCAGCAGATGGAACATGCGTTCGTGCATCTTTTTCATAACTTAGTCATAAACAGTGTTGTACAGTGCAATGAACGTTACTGAAACGGAAACTTATTACATCTAACAAGAATATTGCTCAGAGTGTTAACGATCAGTTTATAAAAAAGAAATGAAGCGAAGTTCAGAACGTAGTTTAAAAATTAAGATCTTTAGATTTATTATATTGATTTTAAAGATTAAAAACTTTGCATTCTAGCGTTTAACAAGTCACGTAAACTCAAACTCTAGTGTCTAAACAGAGACACGCCACACGCGTAATAAAAACACGGGCAGCATAGTATAATTGAGGTTCTTAGGTCGTTTTAATTAACGCTAGCTTCGGGTTTCTAAGTCGAAGTGGGAGGAAGTGGGAGTGGTGACGGATAAGTGATACGTCAGGTATAGCACGCCGCGATCGAGCGCCACTTGAAAACAAGGGCTGCGAACACAAATCGATCCTCCAAACGTTTATTGTTGCCGTTCGCCCGCATGTGTATACGCACACATAAACTCTACTACGCAATAACTTTCTTACTTGATTAAGATTGTTCAAACCGCGCTTTATTGCCTATACATCCAGAAATGATTTATCACTATAGCACCTACTTTGTATAAGTGCGTGTTTACCACGATCGATTTTTGCGAAGTGTTACCTCGTTAGATTACCATAATCGAATATCCGTTCTCTGATTTTCACGCATCGTCGATGAAAGACGTTGCTACCGGCGATTACGCGCGAATTACAGTAAGAGATTTGGTTCAAAGAATATTATCATCTTGCACAGGGCATTTGCAAAGAATACAAATCAGATCTTTTAATACGTTATGAAATTAGTAGGCAGCATCTTTAAGATCAAATGATTCAATGGTCGTGTCTCCAAACACGTTGACTTTTATTACTTAATGGAATAACTTCCTCGTAAAGCATTAAATCACACAATTTTTCTTTTGTCGCTCTTGAGCATTTAAAAAACTTAATTTATTTTCTTATTATCTCCTATCTTCATTTTTTCATCATTTTTCTTCCTCGCATGGTCAAGGGTTTTCTTCCTTCCGCCACTTGCTATTAATTTTTTTTTCTCATCCAATGACTCATCTGCTCTCTTTTTATGACCTTCCAAGGTTTAGTATCGTTTCCTTTTTTCATTACTCGTTACCCATGATTTCAGCTTTTTTTCTAACTGTTTCACTGATTCAGCGAGTTAGTGCGTTTCCGTAACATTCAAAGAAGTAATGATAGAAATTAACAAAGAATAAAAAGAGAAGAGGTGTTCGAAGAATAACCACTTCTAGATGACATAAATTCCGATAAGCGTAACAAGAGGGCTCCATCTCTTACTCTCTGTAGTTTCTCCGCGCCTCTCAATTTTCAAGCTTTTTATTTGTATTTGCCTTTCACGACGACAGACTCGAAGAGCCAATGAATTGAATACCCGAAGCTCTTTTGTCGAGCTTACATTGCCACATCAACATTTATTGACGTTTTGCTCTCTTTCTCTGTTGAATTTCTGAAGTACAGAAAATACTGCTATACATTGAATATGAAAAAAAGAAATGATTTATTACACGTCTGACTGAAATCGACTTATTCTACTTATATAGTTTTAAAATTTACCAGATTTCTGAAAAAAAAAAAAGTTTCACGATCGTCACTACAGAATTTAGAATTCATTTTTTTTTCTATAAGTAACTTTCAACGTCATAGAAATCCTCAAGAATAAGAGCATTTTCACAAATAAAAACCAATGCATATCCTAGCGAATGAATGAGTATGTAGGTGGGGAGAGATGAAATATATTTAGTTTGAGCGTAAAAGAAATACCAAGTGAATATGTCTTAGGCCAAAAATCTTATCTTTCATTTCTTTCACATTCATAATATTTTTCCCACTCTCGGCGCGAGCCCTAAACGTGTATAAGAGCAATTAGCAGTTTAGAAACGTTCATTTTCAACGCCAAATTTATACCAACTTTTAATTCACTTTGACAGTTAATTTTATCATAGGCGTACGCTGGAAATACTCAGATTCTTATCGAAAACGAAATGATAATTATTAAAAATTTGGTAAACTTGAACGTTCGATTTTGTCTAATGAACAAGTTTAGTAAAACTCACAACAACGCGTTCTTTTCCATTCGAAATCCTCGCGAAGTCTATTAAGATTTGCGAGAGCGGCCTGCGACGAGTGGAGTTTCAATCTCAATTACATTAAGATCGTTCGATACTTATGAATTCGTTTGTATACGCTGCAGCGAGTGAAAGCACACTGCGGAGGCTGCGAGAAAAGCAAGACGCGATAAGCTCGAATTACTTTCCAGAAGCTCTTGAAGAGAGTAGTAGCAGCAGCAGCAGCAAGTAAAATGCAAAGTAGTTGCCAGCCGCGGTGCAAGAAGAGAGAGAAAGCAAACTTTTCGCATTAGTGAGTTTTCAGGGTTTTTTTACTCCCTCCGTAGACTCTTATTGCTTGCCATTATGCTTATGCTAAAGAAATACGCAAGGAGGAGCTAAAGGGAGAGTCAATTGATTGCGGTAATTAAAATCGGCACTTTGGAAATTACAAATAATTTATCAGCATTGGATAAAAATTAATCGCAGGTATGATTCATTTGGAAGTTAAAAATATTGATTTATTAAGCAAACACCGACAGTGAGAAAAAGTGGCCTATACCCTACTGAAATATTTGAAAATGCATTATAATGCTTGCGTGTGTATGCATGATATAGTATGCTCACTTGCCAATATCTTTGCGAGCGATATTACCTTGGAGAATTCCTGTCTAGGAGATCTAAAGGCACACATACACACACGCGCGCGCGCGCGCACGCATGCACACGAAGGCTTATCGGCCTATTTAGCGGCGAATATTCAATTACCCTTGACTAACGTATAACGTATATGAGCGACGTCCGCGACGAGCTCTGCCGAGAATATCGCTTCTCTCGATTGCGTGTAATTCAATAGGCAACGGCGCGCCGCTACGTAGCCAGTCATGCTACGCTTAACTGATTATGTGATTTAATTGGATGAGAAAATCTAATTATTATATATTATGTGCTCACTCTAATAATTCCGTACTTATACGTGACTTCACATGACGTAATTGCTATGCAATCGAAATTTTTATTTATAATCTGCTGAATCGTCGTCGTGGCTGCTTCGAATTAATGACATTTAATTTTAATTGGTAGACCGCCTACGAAAAATTATTACGCGTAATTTCGTTTTAGCTTTATTTCACGGTGTTTCCGTACGTATGAATGTTATTCAGGCGATCGCTAGCCGAAGATGTATCGTCGTAGTTATATTATAAGGGTTTCTCGTCAACTTAGTGTCTCGCGCGGAACATATCAAATTTATTACACGTGATTTTCATCTAGACATTTTTTTGGACTCTGATTTATCAACGACTTCTGCCGTCGACGATAAAGTGGGTAGAATTTGAATAAACTGAAAATATTCGCACAGGCACCTTAATATATGTCTTGAAAAAGTTGTTGCCATGTTAACTACGGTAATAAATAAGAAATAAAAAATGAGGTTACAGGATAGTCAAATATTTTCTAGCGTGTACACCAGTTAAAACGATAATCTTTGTCATCAGGCAAATGACACAGCGTGGAGAAAAATTTTTTTGCAGATTCCTCGTCAAGTCAAGTACTTACGAAATAAATCCGTTAGTAGTGCGAAGTAGGAAAGAGGCCGCTGATTAAAATGGATGGACGACTAGCGACGGGTGTTGCGTTGCACAATGGCTCTCCGACGCCGTTCGCGGTTGCGCATTAAAAAGGAAATAGCGAACGCTGTATTTCTCCATTAAACGCGCGAGAAGCACCTGCTCGTCGTGTTTATTAACCTAAATCCAGCGACAATTACCATATTTCACGCGATCGCACCGACCTCTATAGAGAATCATGGCGTTTAAAAGGCAGGAGTCTGGTGTCAGAATAGCGGAATCTGTCATCTGTCTTAGCATTTTTTTGTCGAGTCTCCCGTTACCATGCGCATTCAAAGAAAATTTTAACGATTCTCTCGGCTGACGGGAATTCTCTTCATCCGCTCGCGTTACAATAAGTGCTCGTTTTTTGCCTTGTTCGACTGCTATCTGCAGCCGAAGAGCATCGGCCAAATATATTCTCTTTCACGTGGAGGCGTGGCTAAAGGAGGAGAATTCACGTTGATCTTGTTTTCAGCGGCGAATATCAACGAGTCGTGCTTCTTCACGGAGCAATGCGAGGTGAGCGTTGCCCAGACGGAATGCCGGGACGGCCGGTGCATTTGCATCTTCGAGAAGGTGCCCGTGCAGAACAAGGATGGCTCGATCCAGTGCATCGGTACGCTACAGCTCTCAAATTGCTATTCGACTATGTTTATTTCATGAGCTTACGATATTCATGATATTTCTTTTTTTGCACGTATATGTATATATCTTGAATGTTGCTTTTCTGTCATTTTATTCCGCAGCCGAGGTAAAGGAGCCACAGGACTTGAGATACGTAGACCCGGCGATGATCGGCATTCTCGCCGGTATGGCACTCATGTTCATCATCATCTGCATCGTTCTAAGGCTATTTAGCCAGTACGTAATATCAACGACTGATAAATATATACTTGAGCGATCACTAAATCTTCTATTTATCTAATTTGTTATTTACTAGAAGCACCGCGCGCCTACTGATCTTCCATTATTTCGAGTTTATTTAACGATTCACCGAAATTGAAATTCTAATTCGACATTTGATTGCGAAATAAAATATTAGAACTCTAATTAGTATATATCGAGTAGGATGTTTTAATAGTAGAGTAAGTTAGTTAGACAATTTCTTAATATTGACACGTTTGAAAACGAATCGATGTATATAATCTTATTAAACGTGAACTTCCACAGAGAGAAGAATTTTTTCTTCATAACAATACCTACAATTTTTTCAAAGACCATTGTACCTTTACTCCTTGTCTCAATCATTAGTGATATCATGATTTTGTTTAATTGTATCGGATCGAAAAGTAAATTACACATAGCGAACGAAGAGTCACAGTACAAATGGTATGTTTGTGTATTGCAGGGCACGTTGGCGAGACAATAGGACAATCTTCAATACGCCAAATGCTAGGCTGATGAACGTGTCGCTGTTGCGCGACAACAAACTGCTGCATGGCCAGGAGCGACGTGGTTCGCGAGCAAGCGTGAGAGGACCGTCGAGGCAACCCTCGATGGCCTCATTGCGCGCCCACTCGCCGAACGCCTCGCAAGGTGCGAAACACTCACAGCGAGTTAACCGTACGGGTTTTTATTCAATTCACTTACTAAGCAAGCAAGAAGTTTTCATATTATATATACATATAACTACAACTTTCTAATCTCTACTGTCCGAATTCACCTTCTTAAGAACATGACCCTATTATATGAAAACGTTTGTATATGTACAATATGCATATATATATATATACGGTTCGTTCGTTCGTTGTTACTATTCTATTACTATTGCTACTATTACTATTGATCTTGATTTTTATGAAAGTAAGAGAACGGAAAAGATATGAAATCTCACCTAGCGTACGTTGTTTTTTTGACCAAATAAGTATGTACGTAGGTACTGTTGAAACCTCTCTATTCTAACTAGATTTTATCCGAGGCTGTCTCTTGAAACTGACTGCACTTGCTCTAGTTAAGTGAATCAACATTATTGTCATCATCTTTCTTTATCTCATTTGCTGTTTCTCTCATCCCTCTTATATCTCTACGACACTTTTACAGTTCTTTTTACTATCTCTTTATCTACCTCACGGTTCATTTTCAATCACGTAAAAAACGTCAAAATTGTATGTACTACATCGGTTATTTTGGCTCTTGAACAAAAACTGACGAAATCGAAAAGACTGGCCTCGCGTTCATCACGAACAAACAGAAACAAGACGTAGTAGGAGCGGAATTTCGCAAGGACAGACGCCGAAAGAGATAACCGCTCCTATACAACTTGACGTTCTCATAATTCCATTTCCTCGTAATTAACTCTCTCTCTCTCTCTCTCTCTCTCTCTCTCATTCGTAACTGTTTTTTGCGCACACAAAAGCTACTGCACGCGCGCACATGATAATTCTCTTTTTTTCCTACCCATCCCATTTCTGCACGTTAGTTGCGCTGCAAGCTTCGTTTGGCCAGGCGCTGTTTTTTTATGAAGTGCGAGCAACGTTCGTATATGCTCGCTTCTTTCTGGCTGTCTTTTTTGCACTTTTCATATTGCACGAGCCAAAACGTCCCATACCTGCATGTATATTTTAGTCAGTTTTAGCCTGGTGACGCCAAAATCTTGAATGTTTCGTGCTCTCCTTTCGCCTGCTAATGACCTTTAGCTTAGTAATTGCAATGAGATGTTCATAGAAAAACTTTTAGTTAAATAATTTGTGCTTGGATGCTAATGTTCTGATATTTCTTTGCTTGGGTTTGCCTGATAAATTAATTGATTTATAATAAGCTTTTTCAGCGACTATGTGAACTCGTTCTAGTGCTCACTTTTTTATGAAAATGAAATATGTAAAATGGCCTTGAAAGCTCACATGGAGAATTCTTTTTGAAATATTATGATCTTAAATTATACGCAATTGCAATTGCAGCTATTGAATTTTTATCGATCAGAGCAAAAGTAACGTGGGCAAATGAAGACTGGTGAATGCTTGCGTGTGCAAATGTCATTTCGATGGATAATTACTCGGAACGTAGAATAGAACTAACTATGAAGATCTGTCAGTGGAAATAGCGCAGTTACGTTTGCGTTTGTAATGGAAATTACGTGTCTAATTTGAGGAGAAAAAGCATTTCACACGTGAGCAACATATCGCCAGACTTATTTGCACGTCATTTATTCTGAAAATTTAATACTGTCATGCAATATATTTTTCTAACTATTTGTTCTTTAGAATAATTTCTCTTGCGGATCTTAATATGCAATCAATGATGTTCAATTTTTACTGCAACATGCACTGCGAAAAGCCTTAATAGTAATATAGCAGTGTTTGCTTATGCTTCTTTGTCGATAACAAAAAGGATTTTCGCAATTTTTAAAGGAAAGTAACATGTATATGTAACAGTTTGAGTAATACTGAATCTTGTAGAATGTCTCTTGTTTGAAAATAAAATAACATTTAGCTTTCCATGACTGATGATTCAGACAAAATAATTTATTTTGGATTATTAGCGATATCAACAAGTAATTTAAAATAGTTCCATCTTACAATGTTGTACAAAATTTACTTATAGCCACTCACTTATTTTTCTCTTCGATCTTGGAACTGTTTTTGATATATTTGTGTTTGAATGTCTCTGTCACGTTTAACGTTATATGTTAAATGCGTCACGTCTTTTTAGACAACAAATTTTTTTTGAACTATATTTTTTACTCTTAAAAATCTGTTTTCTATCTCTCTTTTTTCTATACCACATAATGATGACGTCTTATAAAAAGCGTCATTATATTCATTAAACTCCACACGTAGCCTTTTAAATATCTAAACTCGAATCATCATTTGAAAAATGTTTATAAAATGCTTTTGCTTTTTGTCTATCCAGGATTTTTAAAGAACCAAAAACTTTTTTCTGCTCCTTTTTTGTTATGTAATCGCTATTTACGAAAGTTTTTTTAATAAATTTGTATACAGTTATGGCATCACCGAAAAAGTCAGCACCAACAAGCACTTGTGTGTAGCCACCCGACTAAAATTGGTACTCGCATCTCTCGCCATTGCCAAATATAAGAGGTAGCACTTTAATTCGCAAACATATAACGTTACACATGTCATCCTATGCCGCTGTCTCATTGATCGAATCAAACGAAAAACAAATTCGCACGCATTGTCAAAAAAGAAAAGACAAAAATGAAAGCACGAATGAAAAAAAAAGAATGATAATTTGTTACATATTACTCACGCAGATGAGAAAATCCTTTTAAATAACGACAAAGGAAAGCGTGGCGGCAGCGGCGGCAATGAGTGTGCTGCATTCGCCCCGATACAAGATACCCGAATAACGGACCATTGCACTTCGCCCTTGTCGCCAGGATCGAAGATGGGCTCGAGACGTGGGAGTCGTGGCAGTGGTGGCAGTCAAGCCGGCGGTCAAGCTGCCAACAAGCTCAACAGATCACCACCTAATCATCAGGAGCCTGTGCTCGAAAACGTCACCGTCGAGATACTCGAGGACAAATCCTAATACCCTTCCCTCTCCGCCTATTTCTATTTGATAGTCAGTCTCTCTCTAGCTCTCCCTTTATTCTCCTATCATCGATCGCCACTTCCTACAACTATCATTTTTATCAACAATACTGTGACGCTTAGATAGCAAATATATTATATATAACTTTTCTTACTGTCGATTATGTATAAGGTTAATTTAATCGATATCACACGGGAAAATTATCTTATCCAAATTTTTAATATACTGTAATTGTCTGTATACCTGTAAATGTCCAATCGATTTTGTTTGAAATGAAGAAAGATCATAAAAGATATTTGATTTATCAACTTCCCATATTTCAGTAATCTAACAGAAAGGGTGCCAGAAATTTTCCGTCTATATTTATAAAATATGGTAGTGCGTAGAATGAGAAGTGGAGATTAGCCGCGCGAAAAGAAAAATTACTGCAAATACATAACAATAAAAAACACGCCCGTGCCGTTCTTTGCCACGGCGCTTTTTTCACTTTTCTCGGAAGAACAAACAAAATGAATTCATGGCAAACGTAAATAATAAGTCTTTATCGCATAAATAATAAGCTTCATGAATTTTTCGACATCATTTTTATTGACTTAGAATGCGCTTCATCAACTAATGCGTAACACTGCATTCGAAACAATTTTAGATCAAACGATATAGCATCGAACTTCAATTTTCTTCTTATTTCTCCACATGCAGCCGTAAATTCAATTATACATATAGCATATAAGATAAAATGGGAAGCAAATAAATGGAAAGAGAAAAACAAGCATCGAGTAAATTAAGACGAAATGAAATTAAACATTACTTTGTTTGATCCAACAAAAATACGATAACAACCGCGAGTTTCTTTCTGATTGAGCGTTTTTATGCGTGTATTAAAACATTAAGAATTCAAAAGGCGTAAAATTGGTGTTGTATAAATAGCTATGATTATGACTAATAATCTCTCAATCATTTACTTTATCTTGAATAAATTTTACATTTTATCTACTTACATTATATACGCGGACAAAAATATGCTTGCAAACAAGTGTTCAAAAGAAAAAATTCTACAATCATAAGTCTCAAAGCTTCTTTCTATATACCATTTAACGTATACAAACGTTATCTCTGATCGTGTTTGAAGTAAATTTGTGACACAAACCAAGCTGACAAAAGAGTGTACACACCGTTAAAAGAAAAGAGCGTTGATCGATTGGATTTAACCAACAAAGAGTTGTAATCATACGAAAGGGACCATATGAAAGTTTTGTAAATCGACCACCCAGGAAAAAATTTCAAAAGAAAATTGATAATCATGACACAGTTACAATGTTATATTAAAAACCAAATTCTTGAAAGAAAATGAAGAAAAGATGCAAATATGTAAATTACGTGTGTTATATTATACGAAACCAGTACATGTAAAAAGCAAAAATCAATCAAACAAAAAACATCGACACAATGACGTAGTAATTTATAAAAACGAAAAAATAATTCTGTTTGATGATAATCAGGCAAAAGATTTATGTTTGGGTCACCTAAAATCACGTATGTATCATTATAAACCCTTTTAGTAAGATGTAAAAGACTAGTATATATACTATCAACAACAATTAAAAGTTTTGTTAATCCGCACTACCACTCAACTCAGACTGTCCACGATGTGAAAAAATAACGTCTAAACTATGTAACCGTCTTTTTACGTCTCTATATGCGATTCGGTGCCTATGCTATCAGTACATGATTATTATTAAAGAAAACAAATATCGCAATTTACATAATAAAGATTACGAAGATTATTAAAATCTATATATACGAGATTATATAATGTGCTATATGAGATGATTATACAAATATAAAATATTTAAGATATTCAGAAAGATAAAAAATATATATCAATTTAAGCGTATTGAAAAAGAATATCATGTTTTAAGGGTTTTATATATATATATATATATATATATATATATATATATATATCTATCTATCGTCAGAATATCTATCGTAAACTATCCGACTTTATTTTGTTTTTGTTTCAGAGCTCTCTATGAATGATACATTCTATTTAAAGCAAATATAGCTATATTCAAATAAAAACTATAGTGGAGAGACCTATAGTAGTCGTTGCGCTGTACTCTGTGATTACGTATGCTACTTAAGGGCAGATCGCGCGAGCGCGATCCTCGAACAAAAATTAAATATAAAGCTGCTTAAGGTATTGTTATGCCCTCGCGTAATTCTACCAAATATTATAGATTTGAGCAAATTATGCATAAAGATTAAGAAGATGAAAAACTTTGTGCTGTTTGACAAAAGAAGAGTTAGAAGAAAGGAGAAGAAAATCAATAAAAAAAAATAGACGAGGATAAAAATTTTTCTAGAAAGTAGTCATACATACATATAACCAGTGTAACAAGCATATAATCGTGCACACGAGAGTCGTTGAACTCGACAAGCAATTACCATTGATTAACACTCAGCGCACTAAATGTGTGACAGGTGCTTTAGACGCGCACATATATATATATTTACCCAAATATTTTGAGTGCAAATGTAGCGCTGTCTTTGAATTTAGACGTATAATGCTGGATTTCTATAAAATACAGATTTTAGCTAAATGGGAACACGTGCAAAGTTGATATATTGTATGTACGATCAAATCCGATCTTGAAAGGAAATTAGGGGAAGGTTTCCTTTTTCGGGATGGGAGGGATTATTATCTTTGTCAACTTGTTTTTACGTAGTTTAAAAATTTTATGCGATCAAGTTGTACTTAGGTGCAAGAATATATATTACGTATATAATGATTCTATCTATAATAATGATATGTATAGCTGCATTTTATAAATATATTACGATGATAATTCCGAGGGTATATCCTATATATATATATAAATGAAATATATTATATTACGATAGCGAAGTAAGAAAAATATTAGGGTAAATAATATACAACCTTAGACGTTTAAGGATTCTTTCTCTTTACTTTCGTCGAGCAGAGTGCCTCTTAACATCCTCTTTAAGCCAAAAATATACACTTCTATACAAATTCTTATACTCTTCACCCTTTTTCAGCTTTTTCGACGACGTCTACAAACTCTTTCAATTTAAGCATCTTTTGGACTTTTATTGTATGTTAGGTATACGTAATATAAAGTATGTACGTGAGACGACGCACAAAGTTTTTGAATACTTAATTCGCATTAGACACTTAAAGTTCTGTGAATATTATTAACAAATATTTTTTTAGCATATCGAAATTCTTTACGCGAGGTCACTTTGAGAATTTATCGTTATATCGACGTCGAGCGTTCAAATAAAAATAATATCAATCGGGGAAGTTCTTGAACGATCGGCACCGATTGAACTTATGTAATCAATTGCTAAAAGACTTACTCATTTTTGTAATTACAGTTAGGATATGAAGTATGTTTATTCAAAATCTAATGTTGAACATTTTTTTCTTGAAGCACAAAGCAGTTATGAATATTTAAATAGTAAACCTATTAAGTCTTTTAATTTGTTTAATATATGCCGTGGCTATGCCAATTTATTAACCTTATTTTTTTATTCAAACATTCTGTCTTGGGCAGTAAACACGGAATATTTCGCGCACTACTTCCTTCGATATCGCATTAAAAAAACTGCTCTAACTTTTCTATATATACCTAACAAAATAAAGTAACGAACTCCGAATGGACGTAAATAAAAAAAAATAATAATAACAATAATAATAGTAATTATAATAATAATGATAATAATAATAATAATAATAATAATAATAATAATAATAATAATAATAATAATAATAATAATAATAATAATAATAATAATAACAACAACAATATAGTAACGTCGCTCGTTGCGACACAATTGAACGCATCTGTGATCCAGAAGCGCTCTTCGCGAGGAAATTACACAGTGTACACGTGAATTTGCTCAAATCTTGCGAGATCGAGATAAGCTTCTGTATAAAACTATAATTTCGCATCCGCAAACACACTGTCTCGCTGACATACTTTTTCTATCCTCTTTGTTTTTTAATTTTTTCTCTCGCACATATATTATAGAAATTATTCAAAGACGTAAAAGATGCGTAGGACGGATGGTTTTGAAAAACGCGTTTTCACTGCGGATTAACACAAGCAGTAACAACAATGGTTTAATAGCAATTGCAATAAGTTATATATCGATTCGGGTAGCATGTATAAATCCAACGAAAGTCAAACTCTATAGGCGTATTACTTTAGGTACTAAAACAAAGAATTTGGGAAAATACCAAAGAAAATGTAATGAAATAATGTACCAAAAAAGTAATTAAACTTTATTGAATGATATATACCAGCCATATAAAATCAACAGAAACTCTAGCTCGTCCTTATATCACTGTAAACAAACTGTAAGCGCCAGAAAGCGCTGTAATTGTAGAACAACAAAGATAATCTATGTATTAAAGAAGGGAAGTTTGAGAAAAAGAGTAATGAGCTATATGAAAGAAAACACTCGCACAAGTAACATATTCTACACTAAAACTACTTCAAGTAAGCCAGATGGAACTACCTGTCGTATCTATATAGTTACCAAATACATTTGACCAGTAATTCACACATCGAAATGAAAATTTGGACTCGATCATTTCAGTATGACGATTACTCTCTTCTAATCGCGATATTATAATGTAACTAGTGATTGAAGTATTCAAGAGAGATTTTTCTATATCACCCACATTAATTAAACTTTTCTCATATTTGAACTTTTATTAGACTATATAAGCTCCTTTTTCTATCAAACAGAATAACAATGCTTAGAATTAGTGTATAAATAAACGATATTTTTATGCATTACAATATGCTTTTCCTGTGGTCTATTTCATTTGTTATCATTTCAGATTATCTGTAGAACGACGCCGCATTAAATAAAAATAAATACGAGCTTTAGAAATTGGTCGATCTGAAAATTCTTGGAACGATTGATTTTTTACGTATGTTAGAGGCAATTCATGTCGAGAAAAAAAAGAGAATGTAGGAAAATAAAGAGTGTAGTAATGTCGTCTTCTACCTTTAGAGACTTTCGATTGTCGAAGGTCTATGTGGCGATAGTAATGATTAAATATTAAAAAAAAACAGTGCTCTTTGTGACGGCGACGTAGAGAATATTTCTTGTATTTAATAGTCTTTATATTCTGAGATTTCGTATTTATAGCTTATACGAAACAATGATAAATTATACGTCTACATGATTATATTATACTGTATCTTTGAACAACTTATTAACTGATGAAATCTTTAAATTCATTTTAATAAAATCATAATACATTCATACGAGTTATTCATTTTTTTTAAATTATCCTACCTTTATCACTTCTTTTTCTTTTATGTTACATTTATGATAATAAATTTAATCAGATATCAAATATTTTGGGAAAAAAATAAAGATCAGCTTCAATTTTATTCAAGTTTGTTTATTTACAAAATAAGTCAATTTTTTGTCTATTTTATTAACATAAATATCTACATATGAACCACTCGGACAATTCTTGGCTATTTCAAAGAGTTTAAAACATCAAATCACCAATTTTGTTCAAAGTTGGTAGATTTGTTACCTATACAGAGGTCAACATCTGTGCAGAGTTTTAGATCAAAATATTGATAAGGGGCCGACTTATCAACTGTTGAAAAAATATTGGACTTTTTTTTATTAATTCGATTTCTCGAAGACTAATAAAGATATGGACATGATTCTTTTTTTAAAAGACGCGAAAAGAGTTTCACTTTTAAAATGTAAATAGTAAAATACCAAATCATTTATTTATGTCATTGTTATAAACAATTTTTTCAAAAAATCGACGATATGTCAAAAAAACGATATTATTTTTTAATTTTTGCACCATCGTGTTCTTTGTCATTTTTTAATTAAGAAACCGTTAAGAAAATCAAGTGCCCGCTATTAGGATTAAGACAACACTAAAAGCCGACAACACTAAGCGCTAGCCGCTCTGCCGCTCGAAGGTCCGCTACTCGTGCGGTTCCAACGTTGCTTGCTGCAATTGCCTTTAAGGAATAAATAATTTCATATTCTATCAGTCTATATGTATTTATTTAAAAAATATATAAATTAATTGATTAAATCAGTAATGTAAATGAACTATTTTTTTATATAATCTGATACATTATTGAAATTAAACATTTTCTACCATATATTTTTGAATATACGTCATTCTCACGCCCGATCAAACGCACAGAGCAAATGTTTCATTCAATGTTGTTTCAGATTGTACAAAACAATAGTCCATTTATATTACTTATGTTACTTTATATTACGTTATATTAAGTAAACAAGTCATTAAATTTAATTTAAATTTAATTATTTATTTAATTAACTTTATATTTATATATTATTAAAAGTGAAACTCTTTCCGTGTCTTTTAAAAAAAGGATCATGTCCATATCTTTATTAGTCTCCGAGAAATCGAATTAATAAAAAAAAGTCCAATATTTTTTCAACAGTTGATAAGTCGGCCCCTTATCAATATTTTGATCTAAAACTCTGCACAGATGTTGACCTCTGTATAGGTAACAAGTCTACCAACTTTGAACAAAATTGGTGATTTGATGTTTTAAACTGTTTGAAATAGCCAAGAATTGCCCACTCATTAAACACTTTTTGTATTTGTGTTAAATTAATTCTGATCTAATGAATTTTTCTTGTTATAGTTTGTTATATTTGGAATAGTTTTTAAATATTATTTTTATTTGCTTATACAACAGAAAATATTATTTTTCTAATGGTACAATGCAATTCAATCTTAAATTACTTTTAAGATTTTTCAAACAATTAATATATAAAATATGTACAAAAATAAAATTCAAACTAACATTCACAATAGAAAACCACTCACATTATGACTTCTTTGTTCGCCAATCTAAAAATTCTTCATAATCTTCTTCGCTAGAAGTATCATCATTATCTTTCATTTTCATTGTAGATTGCAACTGCTCTTTAAGTTTTTCCATTTGAACAACTCTAGACCAATTTCTCATTTGTTCTTCAACTTCATCAATTTGTCTTTCTGTAGCAGCTGACTCTTGTTCTTCTCCAATAATTTGTTCAGACTGAGTAGTCTCTTCCTTGATTTCTTTTTGGAACCTTTCCCATTCCTCTTCTACTGGATCTTTATATTCTACATTTCGAGCCTAGAAGTAAATACAGATCAAAGTAAAATATTTATAAAATTACTTAATGCAAATATGATTTGTACAGTTTATTTTTAATAAACACATTGAATTTATTATTACCTTGGCATCCATAACTGGATCATCGAAAAAACCTTCTGGAAGTGTTGATTGAGTTGAATCTTTAGAATTTTTTGTTTCGGTTGCTTCTGTTGTCATTTCTAGTTTTTCATTCAGTCCATTTGTCAAATTTGTTTTGAATATTATACCATTTGTTGGTTTTTGTGTACCATTACACATTAATTTTGGTATATTATTGCTTGTGCTAGTTGGTTTTTCAAAGAAATCAGCAGGTAAATTAGGCTTTGCATTTGTTGATGGATTTCCAATATTTTTTAATATTCCTTTAACTTTTTTTGCTGGCTGTGGCTCTTGAAATGTAGTTGACTGTCTTTTATGAGTTTTTGGTGCTCGAGCTGTAGCCTCTAATTTTTCTTTTGTTTGTTTAATTACAAGAACATTATCTTTGTGAGTTTTGGAATTCAAATGAACTGGCCATACAGTTTCACTTTTTATTACAGTTTTGCATAAAACACAGGTTAGCTGATTCAATTCGTTGTACGTATTAATGTGGTTAAGAAAAGTATTATTTACACTTAACCTTCATATGAATTATTTAAGAATATTTGATGAACAAATTATTCAGACAAGTAGGAAGTACTTTGACTTGAAAATGAGATGCATCCAAATTATTGAAATCTTTATTCATTATTTTAATAAAAATATGATGAAATATAATAAAAAAGAAATCGAAGTTAAATTTAAAACTGAATAATTAAAAATTTTATGTAAAGGATATCTGGCTAGTGGTGATTCAATCTTCTTTACGCCACCTTGTTTCTTTTTTGCTTCTAGCATTGCTCTTCGGAGCTCTTCTTTGCTAATTTTCTTAGCCATTATAATATTATTTGTTTTTTTTAACGATATGAATATTATTTATCGTTTAAATGAAAACAGTCTATAATTCAATAAAACTAAAGCTTTTAGGTTATGTTTAGACGACAAAAGTGGTCACTGGTCACTGGTCAGCGATGAGATGTCACTTTTATAAACGGAGAGTGACTGCTTAGTGACTGCCATTTGCATGGTGCCATGCCATCTCCATAGTGACTGCATATTAATACATCTCTATGACTTTAAGTATAAATAAGTCGATAATTATATCCATTTGATCTATCATCTGCTTCGGAATCAGATTAAATTTTATTTTTGTCTTGTTGAAATTTTATTGAATATTAAATTAACTTTTAAAAATGGAAGAACACAATACTCGAATGACGCCTCAAGATGAACTTATATCATTAATAATATATTGCGCAAATTTCGCAGCTGAAAAACATAGTCGACAAAGGCGATGTAATAAAGAACAAACACCATACATAAACCATCCTATTGGTATTATTTTTAATTTAATAAATTATTCATTTAATTTTGCTAATTGTATTTTGTAGATTTCATAATCAATTAATTTTTATTTTCCATAAATGATAAATTGTTATTTAATTCTCAGGTGTTGCGAATATATTGGTTCAAGAAGGAGAAGTTTTTGATCCTGATGTGATAGCGGCAGCTTTATTACATGATACTGTTGAAGATACAGAAACAACATTTGAAGAAATCGAAAAATATTTTGGTGAAAAGATAAGGAAAATCATAGAAGAAGTAACAGATGATAAGTCGCTGCCCAAGCAAGAGAGAAAACAATTACAAATTGAACATGCTGCAAAAAGTAGCCAAGAAGCAAAATTAGTAAAATTAGCTGATATACTCTACAATTTGAGAGATTTAGAAAAAGAAACACCTGTAGGATGGACATCGGAACGAGTTCATGAATACTTCGAGGTATTAATTTAATTTTTTTTAATAATTCTTACATTATGAAATTATTTTTATTCTTCAATTCTAAAAAATATAAAAAATTATATTTAACAATTTTATAGTGGGCAGAATCTGTTGTTAATGGATTAAGAGGGACTAATGGAATAATAGAAGATTATTTAGATGAAATTTTTTATAATCATGCAGTAATGGAAGAACAGAATAAGAAAGATAAGTATCATGATAATGAAAGTGATAAAAAATCATAAAAAGTATTATTATGTACAAATTCTTGTATATATATTAAACAAAGTACAATGATAATAAAAGATCTTGATAAAACTATAACTAATATTGCTTAAGTATCTTTGTGCTGCTTGTAAAATGATTTCATGTACAAAGCTAGAGTTTGAGCTTCTTCGAGTGTAATAGCATTGTAGAGAGATGCTCGAATACCACCTACTGATCTGTGTCCTTTTAGTCCAATCATATTAAGAGCTGAAGCTCCAGCTACAAATTCATTTTCAAGTTTATCATCATTTTTGATTCTAAAGGGTACATTCATTCGACTACGATTTTCTTTCTTAACTGGGCAAATATAGAACCCTTTTAATTCTTCTATAACATCATATATAAGTTTGCTCTTTTTATGAGCTAATTTAGCCATGCCTTCTATTCCACCATTCCTCTTAATCCATTCGAACACTCGACCAACAAAATAAATTCTAGAAGTAAATGAAAGGAATTAATGCTCAGAGTAAATTACAAAAAGATCATTTACTTGGAATAGTTTTACTTACTGAAAAACTGGCGGTGTATTATGTATAGAATTTTCTGCTACTATCACTGCAAAATCAAATATAGAAGGACAAATAGGTTTTGCTGTGCCAATAAAATCTTTCCGAACTATTAATATAGTGACACCTGATGGTCCAACATTTTTTTGAGCTCCAGCAAAGATTAGCGCAAACTAAAAAAAATGTATAAATGATCATTTATATTAAGAAAATATGCAGTTGCTTTTATATCTCTCAACTTACCTTTGATACATCAATTGGCTTTGATGCAAAGTTAGATGACATATCTGCTACCAGTGGTACACCTTTTGTGTCGGGAATATCATGGAATTCAATACCTATAATTATTTATAGATTAAAAAATTATGTAAAATAACGCGTTAAAAATTATACGTAAAAATAAAAGGTACCATGAACCGTCTCATTAGCGCAATAGTACACGTAGTCAGCATCTGGACTAAAATTCCACGTGGATTTGTCAGGAATTTGTGTATAACTGGTGGTTTTCGGTAAAACAAAATTTACTTGGCCATACTTTAAAGCTTCTTTGGCTGCTTTTGCAGACCATGTGCCTAAAAAGAAAGGAATGATTTTTAATTATTTTGTTTTAATCATGTAATAATTCTATTCTAAAATATTTTTTCATAAATTATAGATATTTCAAAAATTTTAATTCACCCGTGGTAATATAATCGGCCTTTCCAGTCTTCATCATGTTGAGAGGTACTGCGGCAAACATACCGGTACCACCACCTTGTAAAAACATCACCTTGTAATTGTCTGGTATTTTACTGAAACGTCGTAAATATTGAATAAAATTATCTTCAATAAATTTCTTGATTATTATTGTCAAAGCAAAATATATATCCAATCAGTTAATTTACTCTAAATAATTTAAACCTACAGTAGCTCCGTAAGTCGTTCTTGAGCATTTTCAACAACTTTTTTGAAATCGTCAGAGCGATGACTTATTTCAAGAATACTGACTTTAGTATTGGCGTAGCTTAACAATTCATCCTGGACTTCTTTCAAAACCTGAAATACGAATCATGAAATTCAGATTTCCACATAATTTAATTAACATTTTTTTTTCGGTAAAACTTAATGATTACTGCGACCATCTGCAACCTTTACCGGCATTGATATTTATAGTTTTCTAATTTTCGTAAATATATATTATTAGTCTCTTTTTATCATTGATCGAATTGTAATTTGAAATTTATGCACTCTGTATGTACTGATATTAATGACAGTGGAAATGAACTTGACACGGTTACGAAATTGACTGTAGCGCTTAGTCTGTGGTGTTTCATTAGCTTTTGTTTCCGAATGTACCGATTGACGCTTCTCAATGGCTGGATAAGAAGATTTCGTGTAATTTAGTCGTTCTCATGATTTATTTATTACGTCACGTTTTTTAGTCTTATTGGAATATATTTCACGTTATTTTTTTCTACAAAGCGATTAAAAATACGGCAAGTTTTAATTCATCGTGATAAAAGATCAAATGGATTTTCAAAAAATAATAAGTTACAGTGCACTATAAAAACAATAGTTTCATGTATCTTAAGGTTTAATTTAAATGCCTATTAAACGTAATTCAGCAACAATTGAAATCAATTAGCATGATTCAATCCCCGCGCAAAATATAACACGTCAATTTTGAAAATTCCAACATAATACTGTACCTCAAATGGAAGTTTTCCAGGCCCTGCGCCGAAGTTGATGGCCCTCTCGTTATTATTCTTACTCATAATTGCTGTATCACAAACTAATGCAATCAAATTCGACTGATGTGTTTCTTTATCTTGCTACGGACTTTATCTTTGGACTCCTACCACGTAATAACGCTCTTATCTGCACGAACTATTGGATGGCTCCCCGTAAGGGTTTCCAGTGAAAGACCGTGAAAAAAGGAGCGAGAGAAACTGCTTCTGTGCGTGGATTGTCAGTTGTAGTTGTGCGTGCCAATTACCAACTAAACTGGTCGTCAGACCGGCTCGTCGCGTACCGATTACTATACTTTCCGGCCGCTAACTTTTCCTTTGAGAACCGCTGCCTTCGCTCGCATACACGCGTGCTCCTCCCTCTCGATACACGCGTTCAAATGTTGAGATTTTTTCTTCGTGATTTTCGTATAGAATGGGCGGCTTATGTAAGCTGGACTAGTTCTCGCGGTATTTTGTCGTTCCATTTTCGTCGGTTGGAATTTCGTAAAAAATGTAATTTTTAATTTTATAAATTAATCAAATATTTATTTACTACCTTGGAAAAGGATGAGTATAGGATGGCTATTTTGATAATCAAACGAACTTACCTGTATGTGAAGTTCGATTCAAATTATATTACATCTAGTTCGAAAATATTACTATGTAGTTCGGCTCTCAGCCGCGAGATGTCACAACTCTTCAGCACAACGTAAAAAATTGCTTTGGGCATGTATGTACGCCCGTCCGTCCCCCTTCCTGCACAGCCGGACTGCCATCTAAGCTTCATATCTTTAGCGCGATTGTATAATTTATAGAATGGGCTGGGCAATAAATGATATTCTACGGGTGGGATCTAATATCTTCGAACTAGATGTAATATAATTAGAATCGAACTTCACATACAGGTAAGTTCGTTTGATTATCAAATTATATTACATCTAGTTCTCGATATTACTATGTAGTAGTTTAGTGAAATGATAAATTATACAATTAATTAAAAATTATGAAAAGTAAAAAGGAGATAACTAAATATCTAAAGTTATTGATTTGCAACAAAGATATTAACGCTACATTAACGCTACATTACTATTACCTCTTGATTTTACATTTAGAATAAACATATGTATGAGTAATCTTAAGATACAAAGCTTGACAGAAAAATTAGACCAAATAAAATGTAATTATAATGAAGTAAACAGAGTAGGATGCATAGTATTAACTAAATGCTGTAATCCTCCAAGAGAGCCGTGGCGAAGTCTATAGGATCCGATCGTAGAATTGGTCGATCGTAGAATTTTGCGAAAGACTGGGAATTAGCAGTCCAGCCAGCCATACGCCTGATGGTATCGATATCTATTCCAAGGGTTTTAGCTTTAGAGATTGCGGCTCCTCTGGTCGAGTGAGCACCGAAAATGCTGGTATCTATGCCACTGTCTATGCCCTGTAAAATTTTCTTAACCCATCTGCTGATGGTATCAGAAGAGACCTGTTTGTGGAGCTTCTTCGTAGACAGGAATAACTTTGATGTTTCAAGAGAATCGTCTCGAAGGTCTTTCGTTCTCTCAATGTAAGCCACGACAGTCGAGGCTACGCAGATCTTGGGGTTTTGGCCATAATATGGGAGCCAAAGCAAGGGTTGATATTTGCCCGGAGCTGATGTCTTTATTGTGTCTAGGATACGGATACTCAAACCCTTAGAATCAAACGAAAATTCTCTAGTTTGATTTTAGCGATTGTTTGAGCTCTGTGGCCGGTGCATAGCATCATTAGCATGTTTGTCTTCTGTGTAATGAGAGTAAGCGACGAATTATCTAAGGGCCAAATGGTTTCTAAGTATCTTAGAACAATAGAAACATCCCAAGTGTAGTCATATTTGGGTTTAGATGGACGCAAACTTGCTGCACCCTTTAAGAATCTTGAAACCAGGATCTTCTCCAATCTTATCGTTAGAAATTAAAGAAATAGCACATCTAGTTGAGTTATGGGTGCCGTATTTGGCGCCTTCCTCGAATCTGTTAGTTAAAAAGGATAAGACTGAGTTAGTTGTAGGTTTAAAACAGTCTTCTTTAGGAAAGCTGTCCTGATACTAAAACTGCTAGCAGTGAGAGATGTTGCGATTTTGGATGTTTCCTGGACCCGCAAGGAGATAATAATAAGTCATCTCTAGGATTTAGAGTAATACACTCTTTAGTAAGAGATAATAGCAGGGGATTTAAGAATTAATGAGAAAGGAGAAAAGGCGTAAAAATAAAACAGATTCCAGCTCATGGTGAATGCATCGACCAAGTAAGCATTGGAGTCTGGAAACCAAGAACAGAAAAGTGAGCATTTTGAATTACTATAGTTAGCAAAAAGATCTATCAATGGTTCACCAAATCTTTTAATAATGCTTGAGAAGGCACGAGGGCATAATTCTCATTCAGTGTCTAAGTTCCTCACTCGTGAAAGCGTATCAGCTTGATAGTTATCTTTGGAAGCGATATAGGATACGAAAATAAATATACTTCTTTTCCCTGCCCACTACCAGATCTCTCTAGCGAGTTTGTTATAGTTTGTGAAACGAGTGCCTTCCATTTTGTTAATATAAGCTATAGCTGTGGTGTTGTCCACGCGTAATAAAATTTAACAATTGGATAGCTGGGAAGCAAGCTTTTCTAGAGCGAATTTAATAGTGAGTAGTTCTTTATAATTAATGTGGAAAAGATTTTCTCTACCGTTCCAAAAACCAAAAATGCTATTATGACCATCAATAGCACCCCAACCAGAGTTAGATGCATCGGTGAATATAGTTAGATCGAATACTGTAGATCTAATTTTACCAGTAGTGGAGTTAATATTATTAATCCACCAAAAAAGATCTTGTCTTATGTAATTCGGGATGGGTACTTTGGCTTTGTAAATGTGATCATTGATCAATAGGCAAAAGGTTTTATAATGTTCCAATTTCTTGGTATAGAGCCAACCATAGTCGATAGCAGGATAAGCAGCGACTAGCTTGCCAGTTAACTTGGCTAGATCGAAAATTGAGCAGTGCGAATTGCGAAGAAAAGTGTGAAGCAGAGACAATAAATTTGATTTAATGGCAATAGGTAGACCAATAGTAAACTCTTTGAAGTTAATAATAAATCCTAGAAATTCGCAAAGCTGAGCAGGGACATCCGTACCTTTGTCCAAGTTTATGATGAAACCGAGATAAGACAAAATTTGAACAATACGACGTTTTAGTTTTATACAAAGAGCCTTATTTTTCGCAATTCCTAAAAAATCATCTAAGTATAATACTACTGAATAGCCTTAAGATCTAAGAAAGGAACCTTCATGATTTTAGTAAAAATATAGGGTGCCAGGCAAAGTCCGAAAGGTAAACACGTAAATTGATAAGTGACGTTATTAAAACAGAACCGAATGTAAATTCTGTTCTTCTTATGGATTGAGACCGTAAAGAAAGCATCTTGTATGTCTGTGGTACACATAAAACAGTCGGAAAAAATAAGTTTGGTAGCCGTGCGAAGGTCCTCAATCTTAAAATGAGGAGTGTCGATGAACTTATTTAATAACTTCAGGTTAAGAATGAATCTATCTGTACCATCTTTTTTAGGTATTAAAAAGAAGGGAGAGAGAAATTGATCAGGGCTTGCCTCGCATGCCTCAATAGCCCCTATGGACAGGAGTACGTCAATAGCCGCAGTGTATCTAGCGGTGTCTTTTTCGTGTATATTAATAGAAGGAGGTGTAAATTGTACCGGTTTACTTTTAAATGGGATTTCATAGCCTTTGATAATCCTTAAAATATGTTCATCAGCAGTAAATTCTTTCCATCTTCGTAGATGATTGCTTGAGATTCACGGTAACGTCTTCGGAAAACTTGGACAAGGTCATGGTTTCCTTAACCCTGTCTGATAGGTTAGTGTTGTAAAGAAATTCACCAATATCTGATTTCTTCATTATCTCTGTCACGTGTGTATATACGTCGTTTTAGACGTTGTTGTATATACGTCGCTTAAGACGTGTGTATATATACGTCGTTTTAGACGTGTGTGTATATATATCAGATGTAGGACTCGCTCAGGTAACGAAAAATATATAAAACGGGCGTCGCTTAAGACGCGCAAATCGGCACGCAGACGTAGGTTAGCGAAAAAAAGACTGATCAGGTTGCAATATTAGGGGAGGCGTCGCTTAAGACGCGCATATCGCCAAACAAGCGTAGATTAGCAACATTTTTCCATAAACAAAATTTTAAAACGTAATGTATGGACATGACATCGTCCAAGGTGCGCAACCCTGCATCAGAGCAAACAACATCAATGCCTAATGTCGTCTCCAATATGGCATCCTTTGACCCTCATTCTTATCCGCAATAATCCCATCTTCCGGTAGCGAGCCGACAGATGAGGCAGGTGGGGTTTCCGACGAGGAAGATTCACCATCCGAGGTATGTGGACTGCGATCGAACAATGGCGGAAGTATTTCCAATTGGGATTTCAATCTCTTGAATTCCTCTTGAAATTCCAACCATTTATCACAATCGCCCGGTCCAATCTTCCTCTTAGGCATTTCCTTTTTTTTTTTATTTATTTAGGCGAAAATTTGAGTAAAAAACGAAAAAAATTTTGTGCCGATCACGGAGAGAAGTTGACATCCGCGCACAAAGAAACGATATAACACACATGATATATCACAACCAAAGCAATTTTTTACGTTGTGCTGAAGAGTTGTGACATCTCACGGCTGACAGCCGAACTACATAGTAATATCGAGAACTAGATGTGATATAATAATCTTCATCAGGGACAAGCTCTTCAAAGCGAAGGTAAAGTGTATAATAAAGAATATTGTAAAATATATTTTAGTCGAGCCAAATATCTGATCTCTTAAGTACGTAGTTCAATATTTAATGTTAAATTTAGTTTTCTGTATTATTTAAGCGATGAGAACCGCTGATATTCTTAACCAATTCATCAAGATAATTATCCCCCGCGAAGCTTTATCTCTCACGAGAAAGATAACTTATTTATTGACCTCACTGAGCATATATATAAATATTTTTTTTTATTTATTAAACTATTTTAGTTATATTAAAGCAGATCTGCTTAAATAAACAACTAAAATTCAGAAAATAATCATTTTACAGTATTTGCAGGTTGATTAATGAGTATTGCTACAGGTTGATTGATTGCAAGTTGATTAAGTAAATATTCTAACCATTCTTACATTCATTTTCTTCTGAAAAAATTAGATTTTCAAAATATTGATATTTTATAGTATTGCAATAAACGACTTTTAATGCGACCTGTTTCACTAACGATTCATCTTTATAAATTCAGTAGTTCATTTATTTTACAATTTTATGATTGAAACCGTATATGTTACCATTTGTTTGAATTCTTATTTTTACTAACATTTCTATTTTATCATTAATTTTACTGAAAGCCATATCAGATATATAATAAGTTCGACTAATATATAAGCGGTCGTTGGTATTGAATCGATAAGTAATACGTAAGAAAGTGTCTTTACCATACACTCGCTTTCTATTTTAAATTCAAATCAATTCATCACGCTATGCTATAAGCTTATAATTATTATACATTTGATGATGCAAGTGTTTGTTCAAATTAGTAGTTTCTATAATTTGTCGAAAATGGCATTTTGAGTTCATTAATTGTCAAACAAATTTTTTTTAATGTAGCTTTGATTATTTTTGATTGACGTATTTAGGCGCGAAAACAATGTATTTTAATAGTAACAGTTCTAAGCTTTATCACTGCAATAGTCATACGATAGCTAGTATCATATGGCTAGTATCTATAGCATATGTAGTGTTAAATAGATAAACATGAATCACACCATGAAGCTATTACGATTAGATAAATAACTCCAAACTATATTCGCTTAATTCTTTATTATCCGGATATTACTGGTTCTATCGATACCATATATTCAGTTGGTTTTATTTTTACGGCTCTAATAAAGCTCTTACTTGAAAAAAGTTCATAGATTTTATTGTTCATATGCTGATAAAAAAACAATAACGGATTAGCAGTCATCGAGGAGTGTTATCCTCGCGGCTTTGACTTAAAATAGCGAATTTCCAAAGGTTTCAGTAAAAATTGTTAACGTTGTCATACCACAATTTAACAATTACTAATTTTATTATTTTCAATTATATATTTCTTGTTCAAATTATTGCTTACTCTTGGGAATTTATTTTGCAAATCTATCTTAGAATTCGAACTTAATTTTTATAACATTCTTGTAACATCGTTAAAAATGGCCAAATAAGTGTTTGGCTTACAGAATACAAAATTAAATTTTTAGAGCTAGAGTAATTCATTTATATTATTACCTCAATTTTGCACGTTTTATAGCTTTCTTAGCAATTGTAGAAGGATGCTATATTATATCCATGTTTAAATATTTCTGGTACAATTAAAATTTTAATTTATTAAACTAGTAGCAAATATATCGTTGTCTAAATAAAGTGAATTAACGGATAGTGAAGGTATAACTTATATTAGAAATAATACTATTTTATAATGTTAATACATAGGTCTGAAATGTACCTACAACTAAAATTCATTAAAATAAGTTTATATTTTGGCGCTACCGTTATTTAACCAATCAGTGCTTTTTTACTCAAAAAGAGTGTGTTTGTTCATCGGTAAGTCAGAGGTTATTGATTGTCATAGATGGCGTACCTTTCCAACGCACGTTTTTTCAGAGCCGTATCAATAGATTCTAAAAAGCTTAGATATTATATTCACGATATATTCCATCATACGCCAGTATCAAACCTCAATTTTTCTGTTAAACAGTATTGTGATCCTCTTTTGAAATTTTATTATATCTTTTCAAGCCTAAAGATGTTTAAAATGAAGATTTTGAAAACTTTAGGTGACAGCGCAACTAAGCACATGTATGAATTGCTTTCAGAGTCAACGTGACCTTCCGCGTCCTCAAACGTCAGTCAGCAGCAGGCCGCAGATCCGTTAACAGCTTTGTCAATCGATACCTACATTTTCCCGTGCAGCAACCGTTCACTAAATCAAGGTAAAAAAAGATAGAATTAAATGATAAAAGCTATCGCGATCTAACGCGAAAGATATCATCGTCTAAAAGTGCAAGAGATTGGCTGTTGCCATTGATAAATCATTGTCGTTAAAATGAATATTATTGGCACGCACCTACATGCGTGCGCGAATGAAGTTTGCGACTGTATAACAGCGAATAGCATTTGTAACCTTGAAAGAAAAAAAACACGATAACGCCAAAAACACAATTTATACAATATAATAACTTGTATAATGTTCAGTTTTAAATCGTTTGTCAGCTCGCATAAAGATGAAAATCGTGCTCATTGAATTGCAAGTATTTCGAGGAAAATGTTAATAGAGACGTAGGTATCGAAGTTACTAAGATACACAGTCGTGAATTACGCTAATTTCTCCAGATGTAGCATAGATGATGCCTCCAAAGCGTGTCGGCCATTATAACATTTATAATCGCGTCGGTTACCTACGGATATACGTACAGAAGTCGATCGCCACGTGATTTATATTAAAAAATTTACGAAGTCCAGCAGTCAGTTTTTGTTGTAAAAGCGTCTAATTATAAAACCGGTTGTGTTTAGAACAACTACAAAATACAATACAGACGCCCATATGATACATTTCTTACTCTATGCATTAATTTCAGTTATATACATATATTTTATTGTTGTTAATTTAATTTTCTAATTTTAACTCAATTTGATTGACTATATAGCAGTAAGAATTGAATTAATGACACCTGGTTCATTCAATTCGTAATAAACATTCAAGTTAGACTAAATCAATTGCGGCGTTCAAGTATAAAACTCCAATAGAATGTGGAACGTTCGCAAGTATTTTATACGAATAACGAATTTGATAAATTACATATTGTTGTTGCATTTTTTCGGGATAAAATTCTTCAACAATGTCACAAAAACGTGTTTTTCCAATGTACGTGCATCTTTCATCAAATTTGTTATGTAAACCTGAAAAATGCTGCTCTCTTTTAAGGTTAAAATTCTTACAAGACTATAAAGAAAGCAACGTGATAGTCGCAACTCGCGATAACGCAAGGTGCTCATATTCACACTTGTCACTTGTAATTTTCCACGTATATGTGTATGTAGGCGCAGATGAATGACCGATATAAAAAATATGGTAAAAGAGGAAGTATCACGAAGGTCAATGAATTGATGAATCTGACGAGCACGTGAACAGCAGTTTTTTCGTCACTAAGTCGGCACGTGTACGCGCATGCTCGTTCCGTACTGCCTGCGACAAGATCTCTGTCGACAAGTCCTCGCTCTTTGCAATCGTCTCTCTCGTTTGATGACCCTGTGCTCTCGCGTAGATTTCATAGTACATGTACTTGAAGACTAAAATTACCCTTTTACTCGAGCAGCTAGCTTTCTCATTCTAAAGGTGTCTTTGTTTTCGTATACGGAATAATAAGCGGTTAGTGTACTATAAATCGGTTTGCCCGAAAACAGAAGGGCACGACGCGTGAAAATTTCCGTTGATATTAAATTATGATGCGTGTTATTAATGTTTAATGATAGGTACGCACATAAACGCCATTTCGAATTTTTGTTTATTCGTTTAAAAAGAACAGCATGGAAAATTGTTGAACTCACCAAATTTTTTTATAAATAACAACACAATGACGCAGCGAATCTTGCATATAAAAATTAGAATCGTGCGTCAGACCCGACGAATTTGACGCGATATAATCACGAAGAGTATTCGTCACAGTTGATAAGAATTTACATCTTATCACCCGGACGTACTTCCAATCGTACAATAAACAATATCAATCCATGGTAGACAAGTCATTTTAATAGTTACATTGAAATTATTCGTGTAATGTTAAAATAATAGGATATTAATTGATTTATTGAAACTTAACATAGAATATTTAAGTAATGACGTTCGAAATATCATTCAGTGATAACACAAACTATTATTTTTTAATTTTCAGCAGCATTATTTCGTTCATTTTTTTTCTACACATCATTTATTTATCTTTATTGCTTTTTTTCATATTGTATCATAGTCACAAATCATGTAACTAATAAACTTACGAACGCATATATTTTCGTATTCATAAAACAGTCAGAAACCATGCCATATTTTATACTTGAAAACGTTTATACACTGTAAAAAAGTCAACGAAACAACTACACAAAAGATAATTAGATTTACGCTGTTGTAGTATAAAATAAAGAAATTATACGTCAGGTCGATGGAATTTTACGGAGAATACTGCTAGCTTCTTGTAATGTTTTTTACGGTCTGCGGTGTGCTGAACAATGCAGAAATACTCCAGTCACCTAGAAGAACTCGAAAGAGGTAGAATACTTTTCAACCGTGTGACTGAAACAGTGAATTATTTGTTATAGTTCGGTCGAGTGAAAAATTCCAAAGTATGTACGATGCTATAAACAATAAGTAATGCATTGAAAAGTTTAAGAAAGTGTGATATTTTTTGAGTTGAAAATCGAACTGTCGCATATATATCTAATTACGCAGTAAATTGTGCGACATCGTCGTTTTGCAATTGTCATTTTCATGAATTTATTCGCAGTTGATAGTGCTTGTTATACTGACTAATAGATAAATACAGTTTGCTTTTAATTCGGATATCGCAATAAGACCAGTGGAAATTATTTCTTCTGAAAAGTAAAGTATTTTAAAAATTAAACATGTAAATAAATTTGAAATTATTCTGAAATTGAAGATCTATCGGTTGGCTGCGTGTTTTGTTTTGACATGATTTTTAGGTTACAGTAATAAATACTCATTTCAATTAAATATTTATTGTAAAAATACATTGTTTTAAATAACTCATTTGGAGAACTTGTGGCAAACGCAATCAGCAGTTTCTTAATTAACAATGTAGCTGTGTCGAAAGCACTCGTGACGCAATTACGCAACAAGCAGTCCTTCCTGGTCAACCGTGACAAAAGAGCAAGAACAAGCTCGAATGGAAAACCACTCGGGCTTACGGATTGGTTAGGCACGAGCCTGTCTCGCGCGAACGTAAGGGCGCTAACAGGGAAAAGCTATAGGTGATCTCTGTCACTTTTACTCGTGTGTTATTTTCCACTGGTCAGCGCGCATCACTGTGCCGGCTTTCATGCGCCGAATTCTCGCCCTCTTTGCAAGGCGTACTTATTACTATTATCACCACAAGGAGCATCAGTTACTAATTCGTGACTTTATCCCTTTATTCTCGCAGCCTGCCAATATGGTCTGGATAACCGCCGACGATAAGGTACCTAATCGCACACAAAGACCCCAAGCAATTTGTTTTGTAGTTGTGTAACTTAATCACTCTCTTCTTTTTCTTTTTATTTAAACAAATGCTAGTTAATTTTTTAATTCTCTTTTTCATACTTTAGCTTATTATTATTCTTTTTTTGTCCCCTGGTTTCTTGCTCCTTTTGTTGTTGTTACGTAACCAATCAGCTACATGCGCTTTTTTTATAAACACATGACAACACGATTTAATTTTTTTTTTAAACAACATCCTGTGTGTTATTTTTTAGAGATCTTGATAATCATAGTTTACCGTTTAGATGTGAAACAATTAATTTGTTTTATTATATATATTGGTATCAAATCATCTTGAGTGGTATCGCGCCGCACTGCGGTAAATACACTCTGGCTGTTTTTTTTTCAATTATTGTAAAAAACGTACATAAATAAATTAGTCACGCTATATAACTTTGCAGTGTAATATTTTTTATGACATTTTCTTGCAGCTCGATGAAAAGTACATGGATTATTCTTCATTTGTCATTAAAGTTTGGCGTGGACTTAGCAAATTCGTAGGTCATGCTATTAACTAAATTTTTTCTTGATGTGATCAATACCCGAAGAAGAGTTTTGTGGAACTCTTGATCTCTCGAATCACATTAACATTAACTATATATTTTTTATTGTCGACGTACAAAATTTTGAATCTTAACGTAAAAACCCAACGTCATGTCAGATCTTAATATTTTTTATCAAATCCAATACGTATAGCTAGCATTTTCTTGTTAAAAAAAAGAGAAAATAAAAACGTAGAGCTGCATTTCGAAAATAGCGATGAAAGCTCCTCGTTCAGTTGTGTGGGGTCCCCGACTATTTTTGAAGCGAACCGCCGTGCACAGCATGTCTTACCGCGCATAGTGCAGGCTCGTCTCGAAGCATCGGGGAGCCGTGCTCGTTGCAACTAAAAATGAAAAATAATCTTTGAGGACTTTTTATTGATGCGAAGCATTCAAAACTTTTGTACATCTTTCTCTCTCTATCTCTCTCTCTGCATATCTAATCCGAGCTTTACTAACGCATGATAAACTTTTTCTTTGTTGTTCGTTTCCTCCTGCACTAATCAGCATTCTAATCGAAAGATTCTCATCCGAATGTATTTGAGCTTTTCTTCATCTCAAAGACGTCAACTCACTATCATAAAACGCTTATTAGTGCATGCCAAAACAATGTAGTTATCTTGCCAGTAACGATTTTCATGTACATATTCCATTATATCTCTATATGTCGCTACTTGTGCGCAATGTGCAAGTAGTAATTTTTTTAACTGAAATTTCTACGATATCGCCACTGCTCGTGGCATAGTATTGCAGCTCGAGCAGTGACTCAGCGACTCTACTGTTTTACTTTCAAATGAAAATGCATACATATCTTAAAACAAAGATAGTGTATATACGAGCAATGTCAGCGTTCCGCTCTCTTGTTTCTGATGATTACAAACATATTATACGCTTGACTTGAGGAAGTAGATTGACTGAGTCGTCGCTCACTCGGCGTGACGAATCGATTGAACTCGAACCGCGATAAACCATTGTACTTTCCTTTTAAGTCACAAGCTTATCTATAGTCGCCAGTGCTGGTAAGCTTGATATATATAAAGAAAGGCTTGGTCAGATCTACAGACTCTCGCACTCAGGCGATAAGTGTTACTCGAGCCACAGTAACGTTTTGCTCGACGAGTATCAAAAGTTCATTAATCCATGACGTGGATTGATTCCCAGATGGCTGGCAAGCCGAATTTTACCGCACTCAACGCGCAGAGCCACTTGGACCACATGTGCGCCCTCGACATTGATTCTCACACCCTGTTCACTCGTCTTTCTGGGATAATATGCACGATTGGACCGGCCTCAAGACCCGTGGAGATGCTCGAGAAGATGATCGAGACCGGCATGAACGTCGCTCGGCTCAACTTCAGCCATGGATCTCACGAGTATCATGCCGAGACGATCGCCAACGTGCGCCAGGCCCAGAAGAATCTCACCGAAAGGAATGGATTCTGTGTACCAGTTGCTATCGCACTTGATACCAAGGGACCGGAAATTAGAACGGGCCTTCTCGAAGGGGTAGCTAGGACAATCACTTTTTAACAGTTTATCAAACCAAGGATACAAATAAACCTGTAATAATGTCATTGCAGGGTGGCTCAGCCGAGGTTGAACTGAAGAAAGGCCAGACTTTCAAATTAACGACGGACAAGGCTTATGCTGAGAAGGGCAACAATGAAACTGTCTACGTCGACTACGATAATATTTCCAAAGTATTAAAAGTCGGCAACAGAGTGTACGTTGATGATGGCTTGATGTCCCTGATCGTCACTGCCGTCAGTGAGTATACGCCAATTGTTACAAAACCAAGTTTGTCAATCCATTCAATTTTCTAATATCTATATATTTGACTTGTAGGCCCCAACACAATTACAACAACGGTTGAGAACGGCGGCAGCTTGGGCTCTCGCAAAGGTGTCAATCTTCCAGGAGTTCCGGTTGATTTGCCCGCCGTGTCCGAGAAGGACAAATCTGACTTGCAATTTGGTGTTGATCAGGAAGTCGATATGATCTTCGCCTCGTTCATTCGCGACGCAGATGCGTTGACCAAAATTCGCGCGATTCTCGGCGAAAAGGGAAAGAACATCAAAATCATTTCGAAAATTGAAAATCAACAAGGTATGACCAATCTTGATGAGATCATAGAAGCATCTGATGGTATCATGGTTGCCCGTGGTGATCTCGGAATTGAGATCCCACCCGAGAAAGTGTTCTTGGCTCAGAAATGCATGATCAGTCGATGTAACAAAGTTGGAAAGCCCGTGATATGCGCTACCCAAATGTTGGAATCAATGGTGAAGAAACCTCGTGCCACGAGAGCCGAATCTTCTGATGTAGCTAATGCCATCTTGGATGGTGCTGACTGTGTCATGCTTTCTGGTAAGAAGTTGTTTTTTGTGCTCTTCTAGTGAATTTTGGTTTAAACATTGAAATTTAAACTTTAATTAAACTTACAGGTGAAACTGCCAAAGGAGAATATCCATTGGAATGTGTGCGCACAATGGCCAACATCTGCAAGGAAGCTGAGGCTGCGATCTGGCAAAATCAACTGTTCACTGATCTGTCGAACAAGGCCGTCCCACCAATCGACGCTACTCATGCAGTAGCTGTTGCTGCAGTCGAAGCGTCTGCTAAGTGCCTTGCCAGTGCCATCATTGTTATCACCACTTCTGGCAGATCTGCTCACTTGATCTCCAAGTACAGACCACGATGCCCAATTATTGCTGTTACCAGGTTCCACCAAGTTGCTCGGCAATGCCATCTGTATAGAGCTATTCTGCCTCTTTACTACACAGGTAAATGTTTTTAAAAATTTTCCAGTTTTATAAACGTGAATTTAAAATGAGTATTTTAATAAAAGAATTTTTTTTTTTATTTTAGAGCCACCTGTATCCGACTGGCTTAAAGATGTTGATATCCGTGTTCAATACGGTTTGAACTTTGGTAAAGGTCGTGGATTTGTACGAACTGGTGATTCTGTCGTCGTTGTCACCGGCTGGAAGCAAGGTTCCGGATTCACGAACACTCTGCGCGTTGTGTACGTAGATCCAGAAATAACGATTGAACAATCCTGTAGTATAACTAGTGATTCTGATTCTGACGAATATCTATATTAAATTTTTATTTGACCAAATATTTTTGTTATTTAATAATTATAAGACGGTTTGAAACTAATTCATTAGCTGTTTATTAACTATTTACTAAATATTTCAACTAATGCATGCTTTATCTTCTTTCTATGAGTGTGTTGGCAAATAAAAATATGTACGGTTCGAAGTGGTTTTGTAAGAACCAAATCAAGTATAGTTATTGTGTGATTAAAATTATGACGTAATATTTTATTAACAATAATTTATTGTTTTCAGGTCTGCCGAGTGAATTGACATCAGAATTTCTGATGTAGGAAACTAAGCCAATCCTGTGGATAGATTTATTAAATAGGAAATAAGTAAGATCACCAGTTCCAAAATGTTTCGATGTGTGCATATTTGTATGCGATCACTCATACATTGATAACAATATTGTGTATGATTATAATAAGTACTGTTGCGTTTGCTAGTCTTTTTTCGATGCTGTGCTTCGCTTATGTCTTAGACTTGCAGTATTATTTTTAATTAAATTAATGCTACAATACAGCACACAAAGAAACTTTAAATAAAAAAAGATAATTATATTATCTAATAAAAAACAGAGTAATGTTAAAATAAAATATAGAATCTCTACTGATAAGAAACACATGAAAAAATAATTTACTGTAATATCATTTTAATGCCAGTCAATTTAGCAAATTTCAGGTTTTTTTTCATATTTAATAATTCAAACATTTCTTTTAATTACGTTGTTAATTGGTATACTATGTTATCAAGTGACAATGTAATTTATATATTATGCTTTAATAAAATCACACGCTTAGGCGTTGAAAATTAAAAAATAATTTTTTATTGATCTTATTACTAAACATTATTGTGATTTATTACCTAAAATCTTTATACCTAAAATTTTCATTTATTATTTATTACGCGTACTTCAATAATTAATCTCGTATTTGATTATTGTTCAAGTATATCTAAAACATTGTTTAACTTTATAAATCTGAATATTCTTCCTTGTGATTTTTTTCTTTCATGTTTTATAGTTAAACGGCGTCTTTATTTATTTATCAATACAGCGTCATCTTCTCATTTAAAAATTCGTCACTCATACATATTTTTTAGTAGTGATGTATATAATCAGATTTGAAAAAATAATCAATTCATGATTTTTTTCAATTATATGTTCTCGTTTCACTCGAAAGCTAACGTCCATACGAGACTGAAGTAACTTCCTCTCACTAGTGTCGAAATGTATTATTGAATTTCAATAACAGTTGAAAATGCATCATGGGTGAAAACCTACAAGTTATCCATCTATATGATCTGTTGAAGGTGTCAGCATTCAATTCGTAAGCACGCAATAACAGTAGGTTGATCCGTTCTTTGATAAAATAAACAATGCATCTCTAATATTAATAAACTTCATATTAATGTGAACGCAGCAGCCATATGAATCACGTTGATCGTTTTCGCATGAACACGTATAAGTTTATGGGAAGTTGTGTAAGAATAAAAAGGAATTGTGTATATTTTTTACCAAATAACGTGCTATTTAGTGATTATATTTCACTTTTTAAAGAACTTATTATTTTCTAATTTCGGTGATATTTAATCAATTGAATTGGATTCAATCATTCAAAAATTCCATTTAATGATTGCCATAATTATTTACAAAAATAATAACTTGTAAAATACAGCAGTATATTGCACATATAGTAAAGTCATAGTCTAATATAGTAAATAAAATTACAGGTAGTCATCATTAAACGAGATTTTACATTAATTTGAAAGTTCTTGGCAGCCGCTGATACAATTAACAACAAATTTCTGCACGTAGCTTTATTTTATACTATTAAAAAAAATTGAATACGAATAATGTTAAAATAGAATTCATCATAAATTAAAAATGCAACTGTCATTTTTCACTCTTTTTTAATGAGCAGTCAATTTTGCGAAAGCAGATGTAAAAAAAGTTCCATCTATACTTGAAACATAAAGCACACGATGCGATTGATCGACGCTGTCATCATTAACCTGGTAGCCTCTAATTAAAGCTGGATCTGTATGGTGAACAACAACAACGGTGGCATTCTTTTGATGTTTTCATTAGCGACCGGGCACCGAATCGTAATTATCTCCAACTAGCCATATGTGCAAGCGGTTCGTTATCGTGCAGCCTGTCCAGAAAAGTCTGCGAATAGTCAACAAGGTATAGCCTACACGGTGCACCTGTAAAGATATTACGTCCGATCAGATGTTTGGCCGTAAAAATAAAATTCTACCGATATATATCGATGTAATATATTACGTTATGTCAGAATTATAAGAGCTAGTGATTTGCTATAATTGTGGAAATGTATAGAGATTTTTTAGTAAGATTGATATAGTTAAATGTTATTATTTTAAACATAATTCATAATGTTGATTTGAATCAACACTAAAACATTATTAGCCGTTAAATAACACGATAAAAATTGTTATTTCAAAGTTATCTTGATATTTGAATTGTACTCGTATTACTACTATTTTATCATTTGTACATGCTTTTTGTGACTTTTCTAATACAATTTGTCGAAATAACTTAAGTAAATAAGAAACATTTCAGATAACTCGATCATGATATATATGGCATTGTATTAAAATTATCTTATCACAATACTCGATTTAATCCAGTATGTAATTTTTTTAGTAAATAGTATTTAATATATTAGTGACGTTACACGCGTCTCGCCCGTTTTTATCTTCTTTTTCATTTTTTATCATAATAATTAACAAATTTAACTCAAAGTACTTTTTTCAAACGTGAATTTTTCAAATTTTGTACAAAACACATATCCTGGCGGAAAAATATGTATTATTACATTAATTCTAAATTATTTATGATTTATGATATCGAAAACTGCTATAAATAATTTTTTAGTTCTTCTCAACTGTATGTGTCAAATTATTATTGAATGTTTGTCCTATTCTTTGAATAAAAATTGCTGCATTACAACATTTATTTGAAGCTTACGCATACAAAAATCATATTATGGATTAGTAATAGAAGTTTCATAAAATGAGTATTTACAATTATTTATTGCACTCTTCATGTTTTGTTGTTAAATGAGTGTTACAACAATAACACTATATACAGCCACATTTTTACTTTTATTATAAGAGGATTATCTTCAAAGTGCTCAGTAACTATCATGATAAATTAAATTTTTATTATTAAAATCTCAACTCGAAATCATGTACATACACACTTATTTGCCGCCATATATATATATTATAGTATATCCAGAAATATCGGCTAATTAGATTCCAAATAAAATGTTTCAATATGGCATCTATCACTTTTTCATAAGAGGAAATATCTAGCTTTACAGTCAATGTCCTCTTAGTTACAAAACTAAAATTTTCTGATCTTGTTATAGATTGAAAGTTGAACTTTTACGTTACGTTTCTTTCAGATAGAAAAGTGAGCAAGTTGATTACGTATGAAATATATAATATATTTTTAGGGATATGAGAAAAATGACTTAAAATATTTTACTTTTCTTCACAAAAATTTATAGGTATTTTAATATAATATCAACGTTAATAAATGATCGAAAGATATTGAATCTTGTGTATGTAAAGTATTGAATCATCCCTATCGAATGTTATCCGGAATCAAACCCAAATCCAAGAGAAAATTACCTCAATTTCTACAGATATAGATTAAAACATCAGAATTAATATCTATCTAGAATAATATCTCTAGCAATTAAAGATATCATGTTACACTCAAAGTTAGTATTACTAAAGGCAATTACTTTTCATATCTCTGCTTATATAACATTAACACGTCAAACTCTTTACGCACACATCAATCATGCTATAACAATTCATCCATTAAGAAGAAAAGCCGAGGGAGAAAGAGGACGCGGAAATCAAAACGACGTTGATGATGACATGATTTTTTTGGGACTTTCTATATTTATCTTTATAGATATTTTACTGCAAAGGAATATCACAAGGGCGTTCCCGTACAGACTCGCAGTTTGTGTGGCTAAACTAAGCAGGCTCCTGTAGTTCACGTGGGCACGCTTGAGATGAAGTGAGATGAAAGGGAGGTTGGATTACAACGTCTATAAGATTGCTCCATATTTGATTCATTTGAAAGGGGTCTGCATCATATGAGCTTTGTTTGCATTCATATTGATGCGGCAGAGAACTCTGTGGTAATAAATCAACCTAATGCTGGTGGATTTACAGTGCGGCTGACTATATTTGCTCTTTACTACTTGTTGCTTGCTGCAGTGTAAAATAGCTCATTTTTCATCGTCTAACACATTGTACATTTACGCTAGATCATACAAGCAGTATATGACGTGCTTTTATAAATTATTTTTAAGTTTGGAACGTAAATTATTAAGTATTAACCAGAAATGTTTGGTGTTATACTTATACGGAATGAAATTGTAACATGAATTCGATCTAATAACATTACTGCGTAACGTTATACTTATCGGATAAATTTAATAGATAAATTAAACTTCGTACGTCGCTTTAGTCATTAATAAACTCGTTTATCATGAAGTATAAATTTAGGGAGTGTGTTTATAGCTTAATGTATAGGTAATAATATGGATTTTTCATTTACGTCTATACCGTGACATGACATCGGCGCTCTTCTTTTCATATTTATTATTGAATGTCGGCATAAATACAGTGATGAAAAAAAGGAAAAAGAATTATCGCATGGCCAGTGAGCTGCGGAACGAATTCGAGCGGAAATGATGTTATCAAACAATAGGTTGAATACGCATACGTTTCGTTACTGTAGAAATTTGCCAGAGCTTCAATTGACGAGATTGAAAAAAATTCGAAGATGAATTATTAAATATGCCGTTATTTATCCGAAATAAAATTGTGCGCGGTTTTAAGTTGTTGTAGAAAAAAAATAACGTTGAAAAGAATAATTTTTGTTCCACAGTACAAATCACAACAATGTATTTCCTCGAATCCATCTAGTGAAACCATAATAACATAATGATTAATATTTCTTGTTTTGTACTCGATTACACAGATTGTTGATTTTGACATTAGCAGAATATTACTGCGTACCCTAGCAATAAGTGGTTTTGTGAAAAGCTTCATTTTTAAGTATGGAGCATTTTTCATGTAAGGTGATACGAGCTGCTAGCGAGACAGTTGTGCATGTCAGTTTCGCATACGATCATCGCACTTGGCCACTTGAGAAAGATAGAGAGAGAGGGGAATGAGAAAGAGATGACGATTGTTTGCCAAGGATCGATTTTTTGTTGTCCTATTCTGTGATTGGAAAACTGTTCTTACATCACAATTTCATGATAACTTTATAATGAAATTGAAGATTATAGATAGTTGGTTTATATGACTTTGAATTATATAATTCTTTATATTTACAGTTATATGATTATTTATCGACTCATCTCGCGACATTTTATATAACTAGAATATTTGCTATGCTTATATTCATCGAATTGTTGATATTCATCGACAAATTGTAAAATTGTTGTTTTGAAATTGCTTACTTCTTATTCCTATATGACTAACATATACTTTTGAACCCAATGACGTAACGAAGCTTGAAATAGAAGTAGGTCAAAAAAGTGTTTCGTAAAAAACAAATTAGAATAAACGTGAATGATATAAATAATGAACTTAAATGTGTCTAGGTTTTGCAGCAACAACATATATGAGTAGTACTTATTCATGTACTGGACTGTATTGAAGATAATTAATCTTACAAATACATTCGAATCGTTCGAAAAACTGTGAAGAGCGATAGAATGAGTCTATTGCGTAGTGACCTTATTGCTTTAACATCAACAGATGGTAATACTAAATTGTTATAAACGGAAACATAGAAATCACTTATTGATTCCGATAAAAACATTTGATACCTAGTTCAAATAAACGGAAGTACGTATCATAAAAGTTTATTTCATTGTTAATAGAACATGATACGAATGTAACTTACTCAATTTATTACGATAAAATTTCGCATATTACTCGAGCATTATCAATTCAAAATGCTGTTGAGTTTCTTCATACAAAGAACTGTCCTGATTACATATGATAATACTGGACGTTAATATTCTGCATCTAAAAAATGATATTGTATTGCATTCTTGATTTTCGTCTTCTCGATTATTCTGCCTATAACGTATGGTGCAATTTAATTAGATGACTTGGTAATTCGAAGGGAAAAACTTTATTTTTAGCGTCTCGTTGTGCACGCGAATCATCGCATCGAAATTCACGAGCTTGCACCATCGTTACTAACAAGTTGTAGGATTTTTTGAATTACGTCTTTAGAAGTTGAATCGTCTTCCTTACAAGTTTTCTCACTGTACTGTAGTCGATAGAGCTTACACTATTAAATATGCATTTGACGGATGAGGATTTTGCAATAATATCCTTATCCACGAGTCGCTTACTTGAGTTGACTTTTAATCTTGATTTTATAATGAATAGTAAGCAACGGCAAAAGTTTTTAATGATAAACTAACGGATCTTCTGTAATAAAAACTCCATCGACTTTATTTATTAAAGAGTAAATTTTTTATGTTATTTGTTAGTTTTACGACCCAAAAGTTATGAAAGTATTAGTAAGTAAAAGAGAAAAACTTTCTATAATAAAATAATTTTTATTGTTATACCGCTGAAAACGAATTCCCAATCAAACTTATAGAAAGAATGTAATATTAACTATGTTATTAATGATAATATTTTTTATTTATAACTGCATTCAATCAAAAATAGCAGGTGCAAGAGATTTTCTAGAAACTTTATCAAGTTCTGTAAACACCATTCTAAAAATATTTTTCTAATTACAATTGTAGCTTCTAGAAACAATTCTTTTTCCACAAAAGTACATATCAGGTTACTATTTATTAGTTCTTGTTATTTGTATAAAAAAGTATTTTATAAAAGTGTATTATTATATTCTTTCAGACTTTCGAGTAAATGTCATTAAAAGTCGCGACGTCGACATTAATAAACTATTAAAAAAAAATATTTTTGTTCATTATCATATTATACATAGAACCGATTTTTCTACTTTAAAGAAATGTAAAATATCAATGACAAGTCATGTAATATTTGTAAGCATGTTAAGGTGTATTCTTATATCTCCAATTTTCCATTTTTGTGGACCAAAATATTTTAAATTTTTACAAACTAGCTATAGATATATTACTGATGTATCATCTGTAACTAAATATTTTGTTCGTGTTTTTCTGATAAATTGGGAATTTTTATTATTTTTACCATGTATCGTTGAATGTTAAACTGTAATTGGATTGGGATTAAGTATGCAAATGCAGTTACATTATCATTGACGTAATTATGTAAAATACAAATATCTAACTTAATGTAGTTCTATTATTTTCACCAACGAATAATTCATTTACCAATATAAAGCATAGTAACCGGAATGCAAGAAAAATCAATCTCTCTTTCAGCACAAATGCTGAAACTTTTCACATTTACCACCTCGAAAATAACTGAAAACTACTTTACATGTATCTACTCCGCAACAACTCCCTGATTAATTCTCTCGAAAACTTTCTGCCAACAGAATTAAAAAGCCACGTGTTCCCCCATAAACAACGAAACTTCCAATAATCCGATTGACAATGCACTCTTCATCAGCCATTTGCGTTATTATTTAGTTGCAGAGTTGCGCGCGCTTACGTAAAAAAAAACGCAGAGTCGAAGAAGAAAAGTAGGGAGGAGAGGTGCGCGTGAAAATCTGTGAGCAGCCACCTGTGAACTCGAGATTGTCCTCCCTCTTTTCCAACTCGTGTAGAGACGAGAAGAGAGGGGACACCCTTATCCGCTTTTGCCGCCGGTATATATACTCTGGCAAGCTGGCGTACTGGCCATACAACTTGGTGTTATTGCTATCCGTCGCGCGCTTTTCTCTCGCTGTTCGTCCGTCCTTGTGAAGTTAGGTGAGGTGCAATCTATTAGAAATCGACTGGAAGATTCAACAGTAACGCTTATTCCGTAAGGTAAAGTTATAAAGTTTATGTTACTCCAAGTTGCTTATATCGCTCGGATGGGTTTTTTATTTCGGGAGTTGGTAATTTTATTGCAAAATTTATGGTAGGAAACGCAGATCCAGGTGTATGAAATCCGGGCTAATTAAGTATACGCGATCACATACACGGAATAGAGGTGTATGTCCTTATAGTGCCGCGGAGTGATGCGCGTCCTTATTTGTTATTAATTTACTTGGTTTGTCAAACCATAAGGAATTTATTTTACTGAAATTTTGATGACGAATGCGACTGTCAGTTGTATATGCTTCACCTTACAGATGTCACTTCATTATTCTCTGCTTTTGTATATTGTAGATTACACTTGATGAAATCACGTGCGGATTAAATGCTTGCATTTGTCACATCGCGCGACGATTACTTACGATTAGGGCATCACAAACTAATGCGTGAGCACATATACACTTGTGCAAAGTAGTTTCATATTCATTCGTGCATTTCGACTACTACTAATTTTGTTTCCCGATGAAATAATAGGGTAGTTTTATGAAAAACGCTGCTTAATATCGAATGGTTTCCATTTCCAATGTTGACCTGACTTAGCGATAGAAAAATAGACAAATTCGAAGTTGAAATTGCAGTTATATGTAATGTTTCAAACGTGTGCGGAATGGATTTCAAAATATTTTTCTAGAATTTTACGCTTCACGTTGATATTAGGAGCGAAAAAAGCCTGTTTCATGGAAGTATAACGACTTCCTCGATAACACGACTTTTCGTGTGTGGTTTCACTTTTTTGAAACAAAAAAACAAAATCTTTGCAGATCCTAAGTCTAGGCAAAGTTTTTTCAGACAGAAACAATGTGGAATTATAAAGATCATTACATATGTGTATTTTTGAGGAGTCTTTGATTGGCATCGTTAATAATCTGCTCATTCAGTAGATGAGTTCCGTGGTTCCAGCAGCTCAATGCATTTTACATTATAAACGGTAAAATGTTAATGCCCGAGGAAATTGCTTCTTCAAAGTAATTATTAAACTTTGTTTGCATATTTGTCTTCGCAAAAGAAAGCAAGAATAAACTATCGTTCCAATAAAAAAACATTCTTCCAGCGATTTTCGTAAATAAAGGAGAAACCATAACTCGACCAGTTAAATGTGTATATCGAAATATTGAATTCGTCGATTTGCATTCATTAGGACATACCATTGGAATATACGAGTATAACTCAATCACAGACTTAATATTTTCGGGGAACATGTACCCGTCAATGTTACGATTAATACGTATATTAGGTATAATGATTATTCATATTCGTTTGTATCGATTCTTATTTTATTTATATATTGTTTCAAGTAAAATATAGGAATCACTTATAACTTTTCTACTAGTTTAATAGTTTAATAACTTTTGACTTTCCTAACTTGAAAAATAAAAATAATCTAAATCCTGATCTAGTATCAATAATTACTTTGCATTGAGTGCTATAAATTTAAAAGTTGAAGACAATGTTAGGATAGAATTGAACGGTCTGTCTATAATATAAGAAGTATGATAGCAAAAGTCAGTATCAAGCAATAATATAAAACTTATTTATCGAATACATAGTAAAATTTGAATGATTGCATAATTAAAATTTTATAATTAAATTGTCGCATTCGAGGTGTACTCACGTCATTGTTTTCTTGTTCAAAACACCATGGAATATTTCGTAATTCTCAAAGTCAACTATGACAAGTATTAACAATTAATTTACGGTATTTTGATTATTATATAAATCTAGCCGGTAGAATATAAAGTAAAGGCACGAATATCGGATTATTAGGGAATAAAATCATCCAATTAAAAACTTTTTATAAGTACATTATAGTTGTTTCGAGGATGTACGACAAACATTTTTAAATCATATAAGTTATGAAGAGCAAACACCATACGGTATTGATATATATTGAATTTTTATACGGCTATTGAAATGAAGTACAATAATGGTAAAAGCGTAATACTTTTATGTTATTTCAATGTCCATGGGTATATGTTTTACATATAACAAGATTTAAAACTGTTTTGTTTTAAAATTAGTAATTACTTTACAGCTTACAATAACAACATGTACACTTTTCACTATTTACAATATCACAGTATACCATTAAAATATAAATTGAGTAACTCGTTTGATTGAACATAACTTATTTTCGTAAAGCGCTAAAGGCAACAGTATAATACAAATAGTATAGTTCGTTAATGTTGATGTCCTGCAGCGACGGATAACTTAAGAAAATTCAAGCATAATATATCCGTCACCGAACGCTTGCAGGCATTATAAAGATTGACGCTTATGAACTTATGCTTAGCCTTAGAAAATGTGGTATATTTCATTAAAAGTAAAGTCGAAGTTCGAAGAAACGTCAGTTCTTTAAAAAAAAATGGAAACTTTCGATTAATTAGAGAAATAATTCCAAAACAAACGCTGGTTTCTCTTATTTGAACTTTGTTGCAGTCATTCCCAAGAATCGATCAATGAAAAATATCTTGATTAATGCATCACATTACGTGATTATCCCAGTTATCATCGATTACATAATTTTCAAGTAATATTTACTGGATTTCAATTATTTCTTAGATTGTTATAGAGTTTACGTGATTCCTCCGTGCATTTCTGATTTGCGTGTCCTGATCTAAATGAATTTTCGTCCCCGCATAGTAAAGTAAAAGTGAAAAAAATTATACATTACCCACGTAGATAGACCATCATTTTATCTGTCAGTGCATATATCTGTTATGCATAGGGCAAACTTTATCGAATCTTTCCGTACAAGCTCAACTATTACACGTGAATGTAGACCGAATTGATGCACAGACGGGTTGAATATTGAAATCGATATATCCAGTGCCAAAAAGCTCTATCGTTTTTCATTCAACATAGTTTAATCAAGATATCAATATCTAACGTTTGCACGGGAGTCATGTGTTATGAATAAAAACGTTCGGCGTTGGTGAAATTCTCGTTGTGAACGACTGTACACGATTATCGCTTCGTTTCTTATTTCAGGAAGTACAGATACAAAGATGGCGAGCAAAAGTTATACTTGGGTGATGTTACTCTTCTTTGTGATCGGAGTTGTCACAGCAGTAGAAAACTACATGGACTACGGCAGTAAGTTTCGAGAAAGAATATCACAAATCGATCTCGCACACAAAGAAAGATGAATGACTCTTAATTACCCCGTGAGCTTTTCATCAATCGCCTTTCAAGTGTTTTAATGCCTCGTGAGTCATAAACGAAAATAGCATGGGAGTCGATGCGGCTATTAACTATGAACCGCTTATAATCGTAGCTGTTACTTATCGTTAAAGGATTTAGTATACTCTATAAATTTTTTTCACACGAGATTTTCTTTCATTTCCTTCCGACGGTTTAAATCTTCCTCGAGCGGAGTAAAATTAACTGTATGAATAAACATATCTGTAATTTTTTGGTGTAAATACTCAAATCTATTTTCGTGATTTTGATTTACATTTTCTAATTATTTTCAAAAGGTTATTTTGAAAGATTTCAAGGCTAGATAGTATTTATCAATAGCAATCTTCTAAAATAGTTTGCATTGTGAATTTCAAAAACACATAAGCCAAAATCACGTAAAATGGACCTAAGCAGTCATGCCGGAGTCATAATAAATATTCGTAATTTCGAGTTGCGGTAAAAAAAAAACTACGAAGTTCATTTATTTTTCCTAGTTGATCATGATTTTCATATGCAGCGATTAGCGCGGCTTCAGCTACTGAATAGTAGGATCACTACAAGTAATTTGTTATTTCAATTTTGTAAATAAAGTATTAAAGATTCTTTAAGATTTATGCAATGCGAAACATTTGTAAAAAAGTCAAATTGAAGTCTTTTGTTTTATGGACATGTTACGATGAAGCTGAACGCATTCAATGCTAAGTTCAAGTTTCTATTGACATTTTGGATTGTCAATTAAAGTACTTTCGTCTATATACTGAAAAGGTATTTCAGTTAAAGTCTTTGTCTTGTGTCGATTGTGTTCCATGGTTAACAGACGAGGCTCCGAACAGCGACAAGGCAGCTGCGAATTTACGCGAGCTTTATAGAATGTTGGTGCAGCGTAGCGTCGACGATTCCGATAGCCTGAGGGATATCGCGGAGCATCTGCAGCCGAGAGCAGTGGAGAGATCGCCCTCGCTACGTTTGCGCTTCGGGCGCTCTTACCCAAAGTATCCGGTAAATCATTTCTACCAATATTCTCATCGTGCTTCACCTTATACTTCAAGCACGTCAAGATTGCGTGGGCCTATCTTATATTTTTCGTATTAATGGCATTTCCAAGAGAGATAGACAGAAAATCGTAAATTTATATTTATGCTCGACTATATTTTAGGATTATTGTCTTCGGTCAAAACATCAATCGTCCAATTTCTTTTACTACGATTTCTTTTTAATTACCCAGTCGGACGTCATAATGTGATCGATAATCAATTTCGTAAAAATGTTACAGCGATCTCCCTCGCTGCGACTTCGTTTTGGACGATCGTCCCCGACTATGGTGAGTTGTACAATATGATTCACAATTCATAATAATAATAATTCATTAATAATTATTCATGAATAATAAATAATAATTCATAATATGTTTTTATAATTCTTATTGATGCACTGTTAATGGTTCAATTTTTATCATACCACATATAAAATGCTATGCAAACAACTAAATGCAACTTTTTAAGATAGATACTTCATATTTTTTCAGACATTATGAAATCAAAAAATTTTGATCATTATTTCTATTTTAAAAGTAAGCTTTATTTTATAAATACGTGTATTTCTTTGATTAATGTCGATTAATTCAGAACAACTAATCACCCAAATACAATGTGTAACAAGTCGTATAACAAATATCCTTACCTCAATCGTGGTCACGCGTAATTCGCAGCAATCAATCAAAGAAACCTGTAGCGTGTAGTGATAAATTCACGTGATTATTCTTCAGGCACCCGCTTGGTCATGGATATGGAAGGTAAAGCGTTATCGCTTAATTAACTTGATAAATTTGAAAAACAAAGCTGACACAAAAAAATGAATAATTCTTATTTCTCGAACATCCCTGTTACGATATGATAACAAAGAAGCACTAGTTAGCGATCTTAGCTTCAAACAAATGAATGATAATTTTAACAGAAATCGCTTCGTTTCTTCATCCTGCTTCTCTTTATCATCGAATGCGACTTTTATCACTTTTCCGACGATTCACATTAGTTGGATAGCTTACGTCACTACGAAGGCAAATAATAAAAATGAGACATAATAAATAAAACGTAAATAATTAAAAGAAAGACTGATAAATTACTAAAGTTTTCCCCACAGGTAGATAACTGACAGAATGTTTGTTTTTCGCTTTTTCGACATTTGGATAATCTCTTTAAGACGGCGCAAAGTTTCACATGACATTATACGCAGTTTCACTTATGATGCAAATTATCCGATGGCATCAAAGTTGATGTGTTTTGAATCTAGGTATAAATCACTTGGAATGGACTATAGGAATTAACAGTCAACAATGCGTGTGGGATTTATTTTGTTTTCCTTTTTTTTACTTCAAAGTATAAATTAGTATTATAAAATTATAAAAAGTATTGTTGTTCTGCCTACCATTCTTGAATTTCATATGATACGATAATTAATACGATATCAATAAAAGTTTAATACGTAAAACATTTTCTTAGTTGTATTGGTTACTTATAACTTGCATTTAACGTTGTATTAAGTTATTTGAATCAAACTTCTCCACGGGCGCGAAAAACTTTGAACCTATATTCACAGTAAATATTCATGTTTCGAAGTGGAACAACGTAGATGATTAAAACTTTAATGAGTTTGTAATAATATTCTGATTTCAATTTATTGGGGTAATGATGCATGATCTTTGTAGATTCGTTCTTCGTATATGTTATAAAAAATCATGACAAGTTGTAAAGCGATAATTCTATATCAAACGATCTTATACAACTTTGTAATATAGTATAAATACATATAAGCTTATGCCTCACTAATTTGACTAATTTTCCGTAACAAAGTAACTTGATATAACAGCCATGCTAAAATTATCAATGAGTTAAAAAATAATGAAAAGGAAAAAAAAAAATTTTCTATCTTATGCTTGCAGAGTCTTTTATCGAGATTGAATGCCGGCGGCTCATCGGCAGCAGCGGTTTTCGAAGAGAATTAATGATCGTATCTCCTTTTAACTACAATAGCAGAGGCTTCACATCGCTACTGCACTATACGAATTTTATGTTTTGATTTAAGATGACATTATGTGCCACATTGACTTGAATATTTTTTCGTTCTAAACTGGAACTTTATACTTGAGCTTACAAATCTAGTGAGCTATAATTTTCTCTATCTCCTCTGTCTTTCTTAATGTTCACTGTTTTTATGAATACAAAGAAAACTAACTAGAAAAATATTTGAAAAAAAAACTAGAAATAATATAACTACGTAATAAAGTAATGACTTTCAATCTCGCTATAAAATGTCAAGTTAAAGTGTATTGTCTTTTGTGATTACAGTCAATCTTTCAAATGAATATGTGTATTAATTATTATCACATTATCTAGTATTTTTCTGATAATTATACATGTAAAAGTATGCTCTTACGAGAAAAATAAAAATCGAAGTTCTGGCCTAATGGAGTAGGCAAAGTATGTAGAAATTTCTAGGTGAAAGTACAGATGAAATAGAAAAGTGACATAGCTTTAATCGAGTCTCACGCACCTGTGGCTAAATTTAATGCTAATGAAAAATGAAAAATGATAATCTATCTGAATTAAAAAAAATTTTCAGTTACTAAAATATCAATTGGTTTCATTGGATCTGATTGATATAGCAAGTATTGCGTGATCATTTTACATAAATATACTAACTTCTAATAGATAAAGTATATTTTTGTCTCTTATAAGGGAACATTTTCAATCCTCCGCCTCCGATTTTGCTGCAATTGGGATATGTTATAGCTTACTGAAAAATAAAATACGTATTTTTTTTCATCGGCAGAAAAAGTTTTTAAAAAGGTAAAAATCGCCATCGAAAATCACTCCCCAGAGCAGTTTTCTATCAATATTTTTGCTTTCAATTAATATTTTTCAATGAAATAAAATGAAAGTTAGTTGGTTTTCCCTAAGCAAATTTTTTTCTATTTTGTTTCATAGAAAAATATTAATTGAAATCAAAAATATTGATAGGAAACTACACTAAGAGGTGATTTTCGAAGGTGGCTTTCACCCTTTAGAAAGTTTTTTCCACCGATAAAAAACACATATCTTTTATTTTTCAATAAGCTATAACACATCCAAATTACAGCGAAATCGAAGGTGGAGGGTTGGGACTGTAAATATAAGTCTAATGCCTTTTGATTTATTATATTTATTATTATGTTTTTTTTTCAATAATTCAATAAAACTCTGACGTTTTGAATAATCAAAATATTGTTAAACAATCATGGTAATTTTAACTGTTTCATAATCCAATATAAAATAAAAATCCATCGCATTTTACAAATGAGATAGATCACAAGATAGATGGCTGTTGAAATCATTATATTTCATAACGTATATACTAAATATATTCTAAGAAACTGTTTTAATTCAATGTAAATGTTTATAGTAGGTAGCCACAATTATGGTTTGATATAATATTGAAATTGTTAATTTGAAACGTGTAGACATTGTTGTTTAAAATAAAACAGAAAAAATTCTATTAAGTGGTTGACTGATATTTAAGATTCGAATCCGAAATTTAGTCGACATAGTTTGAATGCACATTATAATTTCAATTACTTAATCTCTCTTTTTACATTATATTATTTTTTATATTGCAATTTTATTGAATTCAAATTAAATTACTTAATGAAATATTCATAACACAAATATTACATACCTTACAAATACAATGATGAATTTATGAAAATGAACAATTACAAGAAAATTTAATTATCATCATTTATTCAATCAAGTATACATCATTCTTTTTTATAATAATAAATGCTTAGCCATGATTTTGCTGTAATATTAATATTTACTTGATTTTTCCCGTTTCACCTTTGTTTCTACGCTTGATCATCATGATCACTTTAGAAAGCTATTACAAACAAAATAACAATTTAAGATTTTCGCGAGCGACAACGAAAAACTTCAATTGCGCCTTGTAAGTACGCCAGTAGTACAGAGCTGTTTGACAAAGTTTGCAGCTTCGCGCTCGTCTTGTTCCAACTGCAAAATGTTAATAAGTTCAGGCCTTGATAACACCTGCGCACGAACTCGTTGACTCGTCACGGATAATGGAATTTCAAATATCTGTTCCCAATTAGCTCCATTGTAATCCATGAGTAGACGATCGAATGGAGTCTCGCCAATATGAAACATGGTATAAGTCAGAGGTTTGACTGGAGTGGGGTAGAATACGAGGACATGCGAGTCTGCAACATCTTTACTGCCGTGGCTTAGTATGCGTAGAAGTGCATTCGAGCTACGCAAGATATATTCGTACACGATCTGAAAGGAAAATAAATTTGAGACACGTCTGACCATATCGAGTTTTCACTACTGATTACAGATTACATAATTGATTTTTTTTAAACTCCGTTCCATTTTTCTTTGAGTTTTCATACAAATGATTTATTTTGTTGTAAGAAATAAAGTATAAAGCTTTGCTAATGGGTTCAAATGCAATTCTGTTACAACCATTTGGTAGGCAAAATATTTTTTACACGTGTCCGTGCAAGTAACAGTGTATCCGATGAGGCATTCTGTTTACCCCATTGTCATTCAGTAAAAACGTATTTTTTACGATTCGCACGGCAATATATGTGAAAAAATTGACGAAAGAGAAACCTTGAGCGAATGGCGTCCAATATCAGTAAAAGCCAGTCGGTCGGTATACATCTCGATGATCGAAGTAACATCCTCCACACCTTCGATATTGTTCGTAGCACAGCGTCTGTTGATACTGTCGCGTATCGCAGCTAGTAGATCATCGATTTGAGCCGTATGTTTGTTGTCCTCGTCGATGCTACACAACGCTTCGGACAGCGCAATAGCCGAGGCTGATTTGTTTTGCGTGTCGATCGTGCTTATCTCCGGCTCTTGGATTCGGACTCCGGCGCGTAAATTTCGCTGCTGCAGTGCCGCACTGTCTAAAGAGGTGGCTTCGTCGAGTAATGCCGAGTATAACGTCGAACATATCACCTGGAGCCCAACAAGAAGATATACAGAAAACACGATTACATTAATAACGAGCAATACGTAAGAAATTTCTTCCTTGTTATCTTCATTGTCTATCTTGCCTCGTATGCGACAAAATAATAACGGAGGCTGAAATTTAAGCGAGTAGATTCAAGGGTCGATCAAAATTATACGTAACTTTCATAAAGAGACATGTGAACGGCAATAAAAATGGCTCGTCGGTCACAAAAGATTCACGAAGGAGTTCTAATGAAATTTTGCTTAGAAAATAAAGAACACTCTTATCTTGCATGACCATACTGTAAAATTGCGATATAAAAGTGAATAAGCCTGTTTTAAAAGAAAAAACACAAGCAACTCTCTTTCTCAATTTTTTTTAAGTCATAAAAGCAGTACTATATCGATGTTTGTCCAACTTGAAGTTTGCGCGACAAACTCCATTAATTGTAATTAGTTACCAGGATTATAAACCAACCTGTAAAATTACTGAACCACCAATTGGTCGGCAGTGAGCCGGTACATTCTCGTCCATGGCCAATGCTATCTGCAATACGCCAAGGGGCATGCAGTTGTGTAATTCGTCAATAGAGCACAACACCAGAGACATCGTTTGGTAAATGCTCGCCCCTGTCTGTACGAAATAAGTGGATAAGTTTGCCTACATCTGCTTCTTGACTTATTTTACATTGCATGATTATGAAATGGAATAGCAGAATTTATCAAATATATAAATCAAATTTCAACATTCGACAATGCGTTGGTCGATTAGACTATGAAATTTATAATACAATTGAATAGTTAAATGCTAAATTAAATTACGCTCTTTGATTATTATTCAAGAAAATTATGTAAATATTTGTGAGAAAAATTTTCTCAATATATGTGCGGGGGTAGTTTTTCTTTTGAGATTAAAACCGAGTCACATTTTGCATGTAAATGATTCTAAACTTTGTTAATGGAACATACCGTACCATACCAATTCAAGGGAGTTTTAATTAAATTTTTCTTAGAAAAAATTTAATTAAAAATGTAAGAAAAAATAATAATGCAAGAATCTTCTCACCTTCATCGCTTCCAGGAGCGTGTTCACGATTGGCGTCATGACAGGGCGTAAAATAGCAAGAAGCGCGTTGAGCCACGGTGGCTTAGCTTGATTCCAAACCTTATGCATTACGAGAATATGAGTAAGAAATATACGTGTCTATTTTTAGATTTTGATAATACACGTAAGTTGCGACAACTGTAACAAATCCAAAGAAAAAGTAATAAAATATATTATTCATTTTTTAAATCTCTATATTAAAAACGCGTGGAAAGTCATTTTGTATACTCGTAAATACAAAAGATATAACTTTAATAATTGAAGAATTGGCTTAAAACGCAAGTCTATAGGTTTGACAATCAATACGAGCACTGTACAATTTCAGTACTGCCGTTAGGCGCACGCGTTCGAGATCACTAATTATTTCAATTATTACAGAATTCTTTATTGATTCTATAGATTCTCCCATGCACCTATAAAAAAACGTACTGTATATTTCATTCTATACACACGCGTACACGTGCGATTTCAACTTTAAAAAAATTCAATGCCGAACGAGTGGCAAACAAAGGGCATATTTCCATCATCTCTCTTACGCGTATGAAACAATAAAAAAAAAGTTGTCGAGCTTATCGTGCTTTGAAAACACTTGTATAAATACCTGTTGCCTATCGAGATAGGTCGACCATGTGGGATCTTGTTTGAGTGCTGGAATAACAATGCGTTGAGGGTCACAAGCACCACTCGCGAGAATGTACATAAGTCCATACAATCCCATGGCTGGGCTGATAATTAATGTGCGTTTGCATGATTTGCCCGGACAAAGGAAGCCGCCGCATTTGTCCGGATCTTCTTTATTCTCGTCCATTGTTGACACAGAATTCATTGGTCGGGACTCGCCTTGGTTCGTGCAGCCGATACATTGACGAACGAGAATACTCAACAGTTTCATTGCCACTTTGTAGTCATTCATTGACAGCACCTGCTTGCCAAGTGGAAGTGACTTCAAAGCATTCAGTAACATAAGTCTATTTGTGAGACGACGCAGTTATATAAAGCATCAGAGAGTATGTGGCCCTATCTTTATTAAAAATTTCAAGTAAAAATGATTGACTTTACTTTCATTAATTGAATCCAATTGGGTTGCGGTTGTGATTTTAATACGTTTAATTCGAGTATCACAGCTTGATCTTCATTCAAATCTTGAAAACCTTTGGATTTCATGTCGGTTACGCCAATCAAATTAGGCGCGCAAATGTATAGCCAAGGAGCTGGTCCATGACGAGACTTCGATATGGTTAAATTATCCAACCCTTTGCGGAAGACCTTCAATGTTAACAATAGTTTGTTAGACTTTCATTGTATCATTTATTGAAACGTAGATCGATACCTATTATTTATTTTTTAATTGTAACGCTCATTAAACGAAGTTCTTAAATAATTAGTAGCACGAGCTGCAAAACGCGAATGGAACATCATTTATACATGCTTAAGCTTCTCAGCTTTGAAACCCATTAAAACTGCTTTCCTCACATTATAATTGGATCAATTGGCAAAGAACTTATACAAAAAACTTTTAACGAAAAAGAAGGCATAAAATATTCGATGATTATGCAATAGGAAAAACTTCAATGACACTTTATTTTGCAATCATCCTTAAAGCTCGATAATCAAATTATGAAAAAAGGACTTAAATAACATTATAACAATTCGTCAAAGTATAATGATCACCTGGAACAAAGTCTTGAGCGGAGCACCACGGAGTAATAGACAAATCAGAAGTTCATTGCACTTGGCATGAATATCGCGTACGTAAGTCGAAAGTCCATCGCTGTTATATCCAATCATCTCGTCACCGGAGGTGCACACCCCCAAAGCTAAATACGCCGTGCAGGATAACACGTTAAAGGCGTCAGCCCAGAATTGCATGGAACGTGCTAAACTTGGTCGACCCTTTGGAAATATAGACAAATATGTTTGTTATTTTTTCTTGTATATGCTGATCTACGTGATTTTTTTACTATTTTTCGTTGCTTTATGAATATTGCAGATTTATGATAAAAATATTACGGTGCTATCGGTTATATATCGAAAATCGGAAGGCGATATATAAATTTCATAGTATTAAAAGCAAAAGCATATTCGAATCAGGTGTTGCATTGATATCTCGTGTATATTCTCGTACGGTCGACGACGCACGTCGTCCAACTGTCGTCAATAGATGAAGGAGGGAAAGGCAAGCGACCGAATAACAAGCGACTCGTTCACTTTCTATGGCTGATATTCAGGGTGGCGATGAAGCAGCGTGTGTGATTATATGTACGAGGTGGGGGAATATCTGAACCGCAGTGGTGAGGGATTGACGTACTTACGTGGATGAAACGGGCGACAATGATGGAGAGAGATTCGTTGAGCATACCCGAAAATACGCGCTGTGCCATTTTCGGGGACACCGTGTTCCACAGATCCGTTTTCGTTCCTTGGATATAATGCTTGCTATTTAGTTGCCTAAATATCGTTGAGTGGTTCTTCATCGAGGTGGAAATTACTTGTTTCGATGTCCCGTAATTTTTTTTCATCGTATTGAACCTCTTTGTACCATTTATTCGACGCGACGTTTCCTCGTATCAATATATTATTGTGTGTAATAAAGAAATTTCCATTCCGAATGAATTTCAGCGAGTCTCGTCCAATTTTATTATTTAGCAAATAGCACATTGAATAATTTTTGTGAATCCACGATAAATTATTTATGCAACATGAAAAATAATCTCATATGATAATAGGTTTAAAGAAAGATTTTGCATTACACGCGCAGGCGAAAAGAATCACTAGAAAATTTTTCGTTGGAAGCGGTGGACAACAATAGAATACCAATATTTTACTTGATACAGCCATATTATTGAAGAAATGAAAAAATTGGCTCATCAATAACAATTGATATACGTTAGGAAAAACCTATTGCTAGAGCCGTAACCGAAGCGAACGCTTGTTTAAAATTATGCAATTGTTTTGCCGCACATAAAAATCCGTATACCTTGCATATAAAGCCACCACATCTGAATGACGTAAGAGCATCTCTCTCTCTCGAAGAACGATCGATCGCTCTGCCAGTTTAACGAATCGGCCTCGTTCAAGATATACAGTGATATGAGCCGGCAATGAAGATCTAAAAGTCTCTCCGCGACAGCCTCGGCCATTTCATTGTAGGACTTGTAACAGTTGAACAACTTCACGCTGTAAACAAAATCATAGCACGAGTTGAAAGGGACTTCTGCAATGATTTGATTATTATTTCAAAGGGAAAAAATTCAAGGACTCGATCTAGGTTACAATAATCTCAATTTGTTACTTTGAAAAGTCGACGCTTATATAAATTTAGAATTACGCGACTACCAAAGCAACGGAAAATGCCCTAATGAACGAGTTCTTTTTCTCTTGGTAAACGCTAAAGTTACGTGTTAATGGCATTAAAACTTGAACTTTCTGAACTTTGATTTTACTCTAATGCAAGTAGAAACAACGACGAAGGCGAGGAAACCTCGGAAAAAGTGAATGTAAAGGTTGAAACCCTATTCACCATTTTTACGATGAATAAGAGAAGAAAAAAGCGAGTGTGAAACATTTCACTGTTACTTCAACTTTTAACTGAATACGCTTCTTAAATTTTACCGCGGTAACTACAAATCAATAGTTTACCTTGCTTGCTCGGATATAGAGTTTTTGGTTCGTTGATTGTAACACCAGAGGCAATTACGGATAAGCGCAGCAGCTCCAAGCGTCGCCGTAAGCACTGTAAGGTCCGCATGATCCAAGGATTCTTGGATTAGAGTGTGCAGGTGCTCTGCAGTATTAGAAATAATTAATTTTATTGCTTCACCAGCGAGAACTTCCATAATTTATCAAAATACAATATGAATCGTTTTTATTGTAGAAAATGCGGAATTTATTTTGCCCACCTATAAGCTGTTCGGAAGTCTCAATAACTAGCAAAATGAAATCATTCGGCTGGATTTTTTTAACAACCGCACCGTCATCGGCACTTTCGGTTTTATGCTGGCTGGTAGAACTTAAGCCGGAAGGTCTTTTAAATGTTGCTAGGAATTCGGCTTCCCACCAGGTGACGATTTTTATTGCAGCAAATGAGGCGTGACGAGGAAAGTCGAATTTCCCACCGCTCACTCGTACGCATAAGGGCTCTCGTAGCACCGTCTGCATTTCCTATTTGCAGCAGTCGTTTTTAATTGTTTTGACATTGTTTCGTGCAAGCTTTGAAGTTAATACTACGTTATTATATTTGATTTAGAGCTCGGTAAGTTAATTAGACTATTTCTATTAATAACTAAAGCTCTATTTGAAACTGTTTATAATGTTACAGAACAATGTTCATTTTATTTTCACTGCGAATGAATGAAATATCAGAGAACCAATATCAGAATGACTAAAATGCTTTTCGTTCTTCCATAATTTAAAAATATCTCTTGTCGACTGAAGTATTTCTTTTGTAACGCTTCAATAATTTAGATAAATCAAAGCCTAATTATATATTCATGCGATATGAATCAGACAAATATATTATCACCTCACGAAAGAAAATTAAAATTTAGCAGGCGTTATCGAATTAAGCTTCTCGGACAAACAAGGAGGATGACATGAATGTTTCAAAAGCACTCAATAGAAGAAAAATAGCATATCGAAAACCTCAGAGAAGAGACTTATCGATTTATGTTTATATTTCGTATAACTTTGTAGATAATGAGATTCACGTTTTTATTTGTGCCTCGTTTGGTTTGCCAACAGCTCTACACGTGTATATACTTAGTATGATACTTATCATCAGATCAGCTAAGGGGAATTTAATCTGTAGACTGTGCATGTTCAAATGTAAATACATATCGAACGTCATCAACTGAGGAGCCATATAGACTATTTTTTACTCGAAAAAAAAAATGCGCTTATGTGGGTTTAGAATTACACATGAATGGGATGGTATATAAGCTCACTTGAATTTTCTTTGAATATAATTTACCTGATAGTATTGCATGTCGCGTTGCAGAAGAATCCTCACTCTATCTACCAAGTTTCCATCTTCCATAATCTCCATTATGACTTCCAAATGCAAATAATTTATTCTTTTTTAATGTTCACGTTTGTGGCAATTGCAATATTGCTGAAAATATTTATAATAAATTTTATATTTGTATTTGAATTGTAATAATCAAGGCCAACGTACATTACATATCTGCGTATGCAAATTTTGTGAAAAAAGATAAAATAAATATTTATGAATTTTTCAGATCTTGTAAACAAGAAATATTCCTTAAGTTGCAACTGATATAATTTATGTATAAGTCAATAAATCATTATCAACGTGAGCTTTTTTTCGCCAAAGCTCTGCAACCAACGCCAATCGTTGGAAACTGAATACTGACGGGTTTGAGTATACAATGATAAATTATGTTTTTATTGAAACCGGCTTCATTGTATTAATGAAATTATGAATTTATTTATGAAAATTAATATTGTTTAATTTAATTATAATATACGATATGGTGTTCTAGGTATGAAAAATAATAATAAATAAAAATTCTAAATTTTGTTTTTTTTTATTTGAAACTTTTCGATATAGTTTTATTTACATGTAATATATACAAGCAATAATGTACTTCATAATAAAAAATAACGCTATATACATATATAATCTAGATGATTCAAACAATTGACTTTTTGATACCATAGGAGCAATCCGTAAATAAAACCGGAAATTTTACAATATCTGCTATTTCCTCATTTAACAATTCGTGTAATGATTTCCCGTCGTGTTTGTATATCCATGTGCCATCTATGAAATCATATCGTTTCGGTCCTGATTTTGGTGATGATAGCCAGATTTGTAGATTTGGAATTTGCCTGTTAATAACATAAGTTCCATATTCAGATCCAAATTTGACTGTAAGCACTCCATCCTATAATAAATTAAACATTTATTACAAATTTAGATATTGTTAAATATTATTTCATAATACTCACCCCTGATGATACATCTGCATCTTGTAAATGAGTTGCTTGTTCTATTATTTCATCAAAATATTCTGAAAGTGACTCAAGGGTTTCAGTTGACAATTTGATAAAATTGATAGATTGGATATCTCTGAAATAAATAAAATATGTTAAGAGTATAAATTTTTTTAAAATAAGGTGCTGTGAAATATTCTTTTGCAAATATTGTGGTGTGCATTTGAAATAAAGTGACTTATTATAGAAATAAAATAATATCAAAAATACTTACTGAGCTATCAGCAATGTAAATAAATTTAATAAATTTGAACACTGAATAATCACTCTTTTATGCACGTGACAATGATTACATATAACCATTTTTACAAAAGCGTTAATTGGAAAAAAACACCACAACATTTGCAAATATAAAATAAAGTCATGGTTTCAAAAGAACCGATAAAAAATCACAATAAGCGATAACAAAATCGGAAAAAGTTACACGATCAGTTAATTGACAAAACTTATTAAAAATAAATTACTTACTGCTCAGTAGAAAATTCTCGTCCAACACAAAGTTCACTAATAAACAGTTCTGTTTTACAAGATATTATATTTTTTAAATGCCAATTTTTATTAGAGCATGTCACAACATAACCTCTGGTACAAGTCGCACATGTGATTTTATTATGACAGAAAATGTTTATCAGTGACTTTCTTTCCGCGAAATATGTTACTAGTTTCTGTAGCCTTACACTTTTCGTCGATATGCCACTCATCTTACACTTGTTTATTCGATAAATTATTGATCAAACACGAATTCGGAGTAATAATAATAACGCAAAGGTTATCGCCATTTGAAAAGCACTGTAGCTACATCTGTTGATCATTCTCGTATATTACCATTTTGTATCTCAGTTGATAACGAAGACGTTACATATGTGCATCTAATTTAAATCCCCTCTTCGATCTTGGTATTCCATACAATTTTGTTTTTGTTCTTTTGACCTATCGATGAGTTCGAGAAGAGCTACAGATTCATCGAACATGGAGTTGAAGCTCAGACTTGTTTCATTAACGTTCCTACTTGTTTTAATTAATTGGAATGAAGAAAACGTGTTTTGCAGTTCTCAGAGTATAAATAGTAAGTATATGCACGTAACTACATGTTGCATTATAGATGCGTTTGCTTTTTAATTTGAAACGTTGCTGTGTTATTCAAAGGACGTCTTATATTTGAGGAAAACTTTGATTCATTTCGTTTAAACAAAAATTTCTGGAGTAGAGAAATAAGGATACCGTTAGATCCGGTAAGTGGACATTACAATTATTTGTAACAATTTCTGTAGAAGGAATTAACACTGAAACATCAAAATGTGAAAAAGAATTTATCAGTATATATTAAGTAACTAATCGCGCTCGAACGTGAAAAAAAATTATTTTTTCAAAATCTTATAATTTCTACTTAAAGAGAACCGTATTTTATTGCTTATTTGTCTACATTTCAGGAATATCAATTTTGCGTTTTTCACAAGCACGACGATACTATAGAAATAAAAAACGGCATCCTCCGTATAAAGCCAAGGTTGTTTGAAGATGTTTACGGAGAAAATTCAATTCTTCTTGGGCAATTACGTCTGGCGGAGTAAGTATTATTTTCTCAGTCAATATATAAAAAACTGCCCCTTTTTTACTGAAGGCTAAAGCTGCAAAAAGTTCTAAAGATATCATTATTTAATTATTTCAAGGATAAAGGGTTCTTCGAATTTTATTTATTTTATTACAGTCGAACAATATTTTAATAATCAAATTTCTTACCTAAAATTTACCGTCGATTGTAACGTTTTACGATTTGAGAAAAAAAAGAAGATAAAAAATAGTTTTGAAATAGAATTATTACGGAATGTTATTTAGTATACTAACTGTAAAGTAAACGGCATATCATTCTCACCGACATATATGTACACGCGAAATCCGTAAAATTGGCATTAATTCCGAAAATGTAGCGCATTTAAAAGCATCTCGCTGAAAACGATCAAGTGCTTAAAACTGGATACACACGATAATAACGAACATTATGCCGATACACACACAGCTGCACCAGCTCGAATACGCAAGAATGCGAGATGCAGGCGGCTTCGTACCACATTCTTCCACCCGTTATTTCTGCAAAGCTGATTACGAGAAATCACTTCGAATTTCGATACGGTGTAATCGAGGTCCGAGCCAAATTTCCTGAAGGAGATTGGTTATATCCAGGTGAGTATACTAACTTTACACTTGCTCAATATAGTGCCGTATGTCGGTGTAGGTGATTGAACTATTTATGCAAATTTTCAGCTTGCATTTATTTATCAATTTTCGGAAAACTTTTTTTGTTTTTGAAGCATGTAACGATTAAAGAGATCATGATATAATAATAAAATATAAGCTATTTATACGCAATCTGCTATTAATATCTTTTTTGTTTGCTTGTTAGAAATGATAATGTTTTCCTTTGTGCATCTCTTAGCAAAAATATTTTTATTGGTGATTCTCAGTAGATAATTATAGATGCATGCTCTCACTGGCGAAGACAATAAAACATCTGCAATATTACTCTCCTATCCCATCTGCATATTTTACGTCATAAAAGTTGTTGCGTTGATTTCGCATCAAATCAAGAAAAAAAACTTGCTTTACGGTTTTTCAAGAACACGTAATCTGCCTAGCTTAACACTACGTCATAAAATATTTAAAAATAACGAGTCTAACGTCCACGTGTTGACGGCATAAGCACTAATAAAAAATGTAATCTCCGCGGCATCTTCAGTATAATAGAACGCGTGTCAGTCACATCATTAGACATATAATTACGAAGAAATGCATACACACGAGTAAATCTAACGAATGTCTACAATACAGCAAAAACCAGTCGTCAGTCATTATTTAGAATTTTTAACACTTGCCACTATTGAAACTAACAAGCACCTTGCCAATCTTGTACGCTTTCATTGATTTTCAAATGTCCCCCATAACATAATAAAATAATAAAAACATATATATGCCTTTTTAAACTCGAAATTAGATTTTTGTCGTTTCTCTTCGCATAATCAATATGCACATGATTAAATTATCTTCTCCCTCTTACCTCTCTTTCTATTTTCTCGATTTATTGAAATAACATCGAATTGCTCTTAAAAAAAGAGATTCGGTTGGAGCCGCTGTACAAGAGCTACGACCCGCGTCACGCGAACGCGCGAATCGAGTTGGGAAGAGCTCGTGGAAACAGTATTTTAACATACGACAATGGATATACAAGAGAAGACTATGGTGGTAAATTGTTGGAGTTCGGAGTTGGCAACGGCACTGGCTCGGTATTTCACGAACAGTTGGTTACTAAATTGAGTCACACGAATAGCTGGACTAAAGATTTCCACGTTTACAAAACCACTTGGACCTCGCAAGGACTTAGATTCCACGTGGATGACCAATATGTTGGCAAACTTACTCCGACGAGTAGTGGATGGTCCAAAAATGAAAGAGCTGTGTCGGATAGTATGGCACCTTTCGATGAGAAGGTTTGTAATTTGTTGCCATCGACCAAATAATTATTTGTTTGGAAGCCTTGTACATACGATTAGCTATCAATTAGAATCTTTTGATAGTCGGCAATTTTCTAAAATGGGCACAAGTACTCATAAATTATTCGCTATACTCGATCTATAATTATTAAGGTGACTTAGAATCGAAACTCAACAGCGCGAAAAGAGTATCACTGCATCTACTGAGGAGAGTTTGTTATAGAAAAAACAAATGCTTTCAGTTTTATCTCTCAATCGGATTGGGCGTCGGTGGCGTACGTCTTTTCCCAGACGAGACACAAACGAACTCTTACGTAAAACCCTGGAAAAACATCAATGCTAAGGTATTGTACGCAGAAGTTCATTGCATTTACAATGACAACTGCATTGTTCAGTAATTATAATTCTATTTGCAATTGTTTTTTTTAATTTTTTTAAAGGCTATGCTGTTGTTTTGGCAAGCGAAAGACAAGTGGCTACCAAGCTGGCAACGAGAACACGGAGTTAAGACTTCTTTAGAGATTGACTACATTAAAGTTTGGTCTTTGGACTGATAGTATTTGTATGTGACAAATAAATATCTATAGAAAAATATGTTTTTCGAAGATTACAATTCTGTCTAATTAAGTAAAATCAATTTATACTTTATTTCATCTTCTTTTTTTTTGAACGTGGAAATTGTTTTCTTATATTATCAAAGCTATTAATAACATTAGTTTTTAATTTATACCGTTAAAAACGGCAGCAAGATGAAAATACATAATATCTAGTAGCTATTCATACTAGCGTAATCATACTAATAAGTGAAAAAAGAAATGGTGTCAGATTTAAACAGCTGACTGTATTCGTCGATAACAATTTTGATGTTCTCATTCGAAATTAAAAGTCCAATTGCTGATTTTCGGATTTGTTTCTCCATAAAAAATTGTTTAACGAATTGTTGGTAATTAAATTGTTTTCTTGTCGTGAACATAAAGTCATTTGCTGTCCAGATCGAGAGACACTCGCAAAGGGGCATAGGTTCGAGAAACGGAGCGCAAAAAGGGACGGTGCTGCGAAATCTCCATAAAGAAATCTTAAGTACAGAAGTGCCAGCACAGTTAAGTACAGCAGTTCGCGCAAGTCTCGAGGTTGCTGCTACGATTTCTTTCTGTCTCTTTATTCTCGTCTTTCGAAGTCTTCACTCGGCTCTCGAAGAGAGCGCGCATGGGAGCTAATCACTTTGCCATCTCCGCCGCCTCACACGCGGCGTAATCACACCTGCCTGTACCCGTTACAAGGTCGCGCGCAATGAATATCCCCCGTCGAACGCGAACGACTATTTTTTTCCCAAGCAAGGCACGGCCTTTTTGCCCTCTCGTGTGTGCGCTGATGATGATTTGCCGGCAATGTCGCGTGCAAACCGGTTCCCGAGGAAGCCTCAAAAGTTTATTGTTTGCTTCGCAACCGCGAGAGGAGAGAGAGAGAGAGAGAGAGAGAGAAAATCGCCGGCAGGGAGGTCGTCAGATCTCAGGAGCTTGGGATCGATTATCAATTTCACAACGGGGCCTCGCTGCTCAGCGCGCAGTCGGCTCATGACTTTCATCGCGCCCTGTTACCGATCGCTCTTGCTGCGCGCGCCACGTTTTAAATTTTCTCCAGCGCTCTGTCATTCCTTGTTATTTTGACCAATTGCTGTGTTTGTGAATGTAAGGCGAGGCTGCGTATTTGTAAGTTCAAAAGTTTATTTTCTTTTCTTTTCTTGCTTAGTTTTGCATAGACGCTGTTGATTGTTGATTTCATATTTTTTCAACATTGGGTTTTTATGTACTTCAGGTTTCTTTTGTACGGCTTGAATAAATTATTGTATTATGTCACAGACACTTTTAAAAGATTTTTTTTACTATTGCTTGAGAAATATATTCCAAAATGATAGCAGTCGAAGAAAGTTCATTTTGAAAATATAGAACATTTTTTAAAAAGAAATTTGATATTATAAAAGCTTTGAGTTAGGTGACATAATATTTACAACGAATCTATAGTAAAATTAAAAAAACGACAAATTTCGGAATAGAATAAGGCAATCTACCTACAAAATATGCTAATTGACTTTTGTCATTTTTTCAGTTTCTTTTTGTAGTGACATCAATATACTATTAAAAGAAGTTATTAACGAGAAAATGAAGAGGAACGTTATGTTAGTAATTTTAGGGATCGCAATTATTGGTTCCTGCAATGCTGCGAAATTGTCAGATGTTTTAAATCTAAAGCGTGGTGGTAAGAATTAATGAGATATGTCATTTTCACTCAATGTATGATGATAACGGTACATTTATTTGCAGAATCAGATTATATTTTACGCAGCTGTATAGCGAGCGCCCAGTTGACCAGAAGACTTAGTACAAATGGCGTGTCGCAATTAACTTCAATAGAGAATCCTATTTTATCAGAACCACAATCGGATGCTTTATTACTCAACAATGTTGAAAATAAAAACCTCATAAAACGTTCTAGAAGTAATACGAAAGCGCATCCTAGGTTAAAAGCCAGGTATTTAGTTAATAAGAATATCGATACTCCTCTCGGGACTGTTGATGTTAAAACTTTACGGAAAGATATTCCAAAAGTGTTTAAAAAAAAAGAACGTCTTCCAGAATTAGACAGTAGACGTGGCGCTGCTAGAAACATAGACACCGAAGCGGATATTATTTTAGTTCAACCTTTGAAGCATTAAATAAAAAGTAAAATTGTATGTTAAATTCTGTTCACAAATATATTTTACTCTAACAAAATAACAGACTGAGTGAGGAAATAAAGAAAAAATTAAAAGGCTTTACATGAATTTAACTTGGTGGAGTACTGACAGATTCTGGTAACCTTTGAATTTCAGTCTGAAACAGAAATAAAATTATAATTAGCAAATTACTGATGTTTCACAAAAAGTTTTTTGTAGACTGTATAATAATATTAAAAATCATTCTTTATGATTTTAGAGAGTAATAAATTAAGATAAATAAAAATTGTATATAATTCACCTTTGTTACTTTCATTGCTACACCTTCTGGTAAATTTCTTTGAATATATTCTAAAAACGTATCAGCAGTTGATCCTGTCATTTTCAAAAATTCTAAAAATCTATAATATGTCCTAAATTCATACTGAACTCGATGTTTTTTATAAACATGCTTAGCTTTGAGAAGAGTCAATCGTTGATGAGTTGCTTTGCGAGGAGCAAAACTAAAAAATTATTAATAACCATTAAAATTATTTATCGATGAAAAATAATGGCTAGAAGATCTTTTTATTGAAACTACTACTTACTTGCCACCTACTGTAATACCTAGATGATCTGCTGCAGTTGTAGCAAAAATCCCATAACTTTGTAAAACAGCTTTATCATTTCCTCGTACTTCAATTTCTATTTTCTTGTATAACTTGTCAGGCTTAGCCTACAATAGATTTTCATTAGTTATCAATAGTATTTTATTTTTGTAATTAATAAAACTATGTGTTATAGTGTTATAAAATATTGTAATATTTTTACAGTTTCTGTTGATATAACATCACTTGAGAATGTTCTGCACATTGGAAATGAAAGATTGATACGTTCGGCGGCTATGTTGAAGCATTTATTCCAAATCTAAAATAAGAGCTAACTTTGAAATTCAATTTTCAACTATTTGTATTTATTTTATAAAAAAAATTGATACTTTTTTCAGATGTTTAAAAACTGGAATCATAACCTTAATGTTCAATTATAAATGAAAACTCACCTTTGCCGAAAACATGGTTTCCAATAAGATGTCAATTGATGATTATATAAATTATTATCTCCTAAATTCTTTTTTTTATTATAAAAAATTAAATAATTGATATCTTCATAATATATATTTTGTAACTTTATTGCTCAAGAGACGAGTGCAGGCAGTCAGGCATTTCGTTCACTTCATTGCCGGTAATAACGCTATCGATAAAACAGAATTATAATTTTGTTAGGTGCATTAATATATATATATCGCACAGTATTATAATACATGATTGCGGGATAACTTCAAATTGATAGTTTATTATACCGTATATAGGTGCTGCAATAATAAAAAGAATAAAGTTTCTGAGTCATATGAATTTATTTGACTATATTATTACATCACTTATTGATAACAATGCACAACATAATATGTATTTATGCCGGTCTGTACTTAAAAATACATCAAAATAGTAATTTTAAGAACTATACATATATAGATATATATATATATATATATATATATATATATATATAGATATGATATGAAAAAGTGTAAGAAAAATGTCATTCAAGCTAAATTAATTTTAGCGATATAAGAATTGTTCGAATGAAAATTACCAATCGAAGAAAGGAAAAATGTAAACCACTTACATTCTATCGCTAGAATAATTTTAACAAAAAAAATATATATATATTCTTAATACTACGTCACAACGATGCTTCAGCGACGGTTGTTCATAAAAGGAGCATTATTAAATGGTCTTGCATTGAAATTGGAAAAGTTCTGTTGGGGTTGTTGCCAATTGTTCAGCACATTTCCTAATAAATTGAGTGATTGATTGGGCTGCATAACTCCAGAAGAATTATTACTTGCTTGCCAATTGTTTTGGGGTATCCAGTTGGTATTTCTGTTTTGAGTTTGCTGAGTAGTTGGTTGCCATGTAGGTGGTTTTTGATTATTCATACCCATGTTCATTCCCATGCCTATATTCTGATTTTGATTTGGCATATTGGAAGTCAAGCTCGCCCCATTACCACTCAAATTCTTCATAGGAAACGTTGGATTTTGTTGCCAATTTGTCTCAACTGGCTTATCTCTGCCCCACGTATTTGATTGATTTGGTTGACCGGACGGTGCCCATTTTGGGGTACTTGGATGATCATCATCCCACGGATCTCGTGCATCTTCTGGCAAGTCATAATCATTCTTCTCTGGAGCCTCCCATCTGGGCTCGTGTCTTGGTTCTGATCGTGGTTCATGTCTAGGCATCTCATGACGTGGAGGAGATAACGGTCGTCGCGGTGGCTCATGTCTGGGTTCGTGACGTGGTGGTGATAGTGCACGTCGTGGTGGTTCTTGACGTGGAGGTGGTGATAACAAACGTCGCGGTGGTTCGTGACGAAGATCATGTCTTGGCTCATGACGTGGAGGTGACATTGGTCTGCGTGGTTGCTCATGTCTCATTTCATGTCGAGGCTCGAATCTTGGCTCGATCTGTGATGGTCCGTGACGAGGTTCATGTCGAGGCATATCGCGAGGAGGGTCTTTCTTCACATCCCAATTAGATGGTCCACTATTCAACGATCCTTTCCACGGACCACTGGGTGAAGCATTGTCCCAATTGCTGCTTTCCGTTCGGTATCTGTTGCCGTTACTACTACTATTGTAAATAAACAAAAGGAAATATAACTTTATCGTAACTGTCAATTTAACAATAATAAAATTAAATGATCTTAAAAAATCGAATGAACGTACGTTTGATCCCAATTAGATACAGGTGCTGCATCCCACGTTGCCTTTTCTTTCTCGGGTCTCCATCCGCTCTCATTGACAGCACCTCTAGTAGGAATATCCCATTCATCCGCATAGCGTCTAAGAGGTGATTTTTGTCTTGGCGGTGAGATTCTATTTGCAGGTGAGAAAGGTCTCCTTGGAGGTGTGAGCCTTCGTGGTGAAGAACTCTGACGATTACCACTTGGCACATTTCTAGAAGATGTGGAATGATGGCGAAAAGCCGGTGATACTGGTCTTCGTGGAGGGGACAAAGGTCTGCGCGGAGGTGAAGCTGCACGTCGTGGAGGCGAAGCTGGACGCCTAGGAGGAGACAACATCGGCTGTCGTCTCATGAGCGGCGAAATAGGTCGTCGAGGTGGCGATACTTGACGTAGAGCTGAACGAATAGGTTGACGCAGCGGTGATAATGGGCGTCGTGGTGGACTAGATTTAATATATCTACCCGGTACTTCTTTGTAAAGTGGTCCTTCAGGTTTTCCTTTATCCCATGTTTCTATAAAATTAAAGCACAAAAATCAAATTTTAATCAAAAGTTCAAAATTTCAAAAATCAAAATAAAAAAAAAAATAAAATAAAAAAAAATAAAAAAAAATATTCAAATTTTCATTAGGAGCGTTAACAAAATAAAATTCGATATCTTACCCGATGGTTTTCGATAATTGCTATCTTGAAAACGATTGGGGCCAGGTTTATGGTAAGGAACTGAACTTGGTTTGCTACCAACACTTTTGAACTTATTACTCGCAGCTACTGGTTCTAGTAAAATTGGTTCTACTGGTGGTACGTTGCCATATTTCTTACTTTTTCCAACCGGAACAGGAGGTCTGTTAATATATCCTCTATTATTGGCAGTAGTTATAACGATTTCTTTAGGTCCAGTTTCTTTAACAAGGCGTCCTCTCATTGGAGCAGCTTTATCGTCTAACTTTCCTTTAACTTCGTCTTTCGCATTTTCCTGAGGCGGAGCAATGCGATCCCAAACCGAACGAGGAGGCAGTTGATTTTGAAGTTTATTTGTCTTTTCAATGGCAAGATTTAACATCTCTTGTAATTTTTTGACGGTTTCATTGTCTACAGATGAACTAGCCCCGCTAAGTTTCTGTTTTGCAGCATCAAGAAGCTTTTTCTGCTCTGATATTTCATTGACTATTGCTGCTGGCTCCAATCTGTTACTAGAAAGCCGAGCGCGTAAATCTTCTTCGTCCGTATTGCGTGACTTATCGTACATGGGATTGGGACGAATATTAGATCCTGAAATTGTAAAATAATAAAATTAAAAATAGAACTCGGAAAAAACGGATTGCTAAATGATGAAATTTGTAGAATCATACCTTGCCAAGTTTTATCGAATTTAAACTTTTTAAATCCAGGTTCAAATTCATTATCGTCATCATCAAAAGATCTTTTTATAGTAAATTTGTTGACACCTTTGAATGGGGGATTTCCAAAGCCTCCTCTTGTATAACCACCTCTAGCAAATTTCGCAGGCAGACCTTTTTGGAAAGGTGGTATTTTAACGTTTTCAGAGTTCTTTTTAAGAGCTTCTTGTTTCGATTTACTAATAAGCCCGACAGGATTTATTGTACCTTTTTGTGCTGGTATTTTCAATAGATTTGCCATTGTTCTGCGTTCCATTGACATTACAATATCAAATGCAAAGTGTTTTGGTGTTGTATCAACAATACAACCTTTAATAGGGATAAATGGATTTCCATAGGTATCGTTAGCCGGCTGTACAAGTTCCAAAACTATTCGATTGGCTAGTTTTGTTAAATTGGTAATCAGAACTATGCGGCCTAAAGTAGTAATCTTTCGTAACCCTTTGATAACTTTTGGTGCTGTATATCAGGATTTATGTTAATTTACTCTTTGAAAATGTTACTATTTTCTAGTTATTAATATTATTGAAAGTTACTTACATTTGCCAAATACACTGTTTGTGTTAATTACTGCTACAGCTTTAGCATCTTCAAGACACCTGGCAATCTCCTTTAAGAAAATTTCAATTTTGCCAGTCAAGAAAGCTACATTTGTAATCCCATTCAAATTACATAATGTTTGAGCTTCTGATACTTCTTTTTCTATATCCACTCCTATAACTTTCTGACATTTCTAAAGCGAAAAATAAGAAAATGATATTGACTTATCAAACTGTAAAATATATACTCACTACTCTTTCAACTTACCGATGCAAGTAATAAGCTCATTATTCCTGAACCGCATCCTATTTCCAATACAGTAGTATTTTGTGTAGGAAGCAAAAATTCTATAATTGTATTTGACAAAACTTCTACTCCAGCTAAATTAGCCCACATGTTAGCTTTTGGTGGCAGATCAATTTTGATAGAACCTACAGTATCACAGAGAGTTTCTGATCCAAATAGAAGAACGCTGTCAGTTGAAATGACGTTATTTTCTCTAAAAACAAATTTGCAGTGAAAAATTGATGAGTAATCAAGTAGTATGATGAATACATTTTTATGTATTACTCATATAACTCACTTTATAATTGATTTGCAATAAAAAGACTTAATATTAGCATCTTTTCCAGAACCATTCAGAAAGTAGTCCGTGACTCTATCTTTAAAATCGTCACTAATGTTTTTACCAGTAATATTCATCATTATATCTTCAGAGCGATTACATCGGATTAAAATTACGAATCCATCAGGGGGAATACATATCTTTTTCTTTTCATTTTCTTTGGATTCCTGAACCTCTTGAGATGTTTCAAGTTTTGTGTGTTGATTGTTTTCTTCTGGTGTGGCTTTTTCATCGTGAGACTCTTTTGCATTTTCATTTTCAGCTTCCAATGAGTTCAGGAATTCTCCGAATAACTAAATGAAAGAAAATCAATGTAGAGTTGAAAAAAAAGTTATATTTTTGTATTTCATTCTTAATTTATAAATAAAAAAGTGTTTTTTTTATCATTAATCAATTTCAAAATAATAAAATTAACCTATATATATGTATATATGTATATATGTATATATACACCATAGTTACGGGGTTCGCGTTTATAATTTATTATGTATTGATGTCTTATTATGATAAATGCAATGGCAAAATGTAAAAATGACATCGACTTAAATTCTATATAGGCGGCATTTGTCATCAATTTCAGAACAGTCAAGAAAGTGGCTAGTTACCAGCAAAATGATTTATTACCAACACTGATCTTTTTATCATGCTTATAACGTTTGATAGTAGTAACAAGTACTCTTGCTCTGAATAATCAAGATTTCACTTTAAATAAAGCAAAAATCTTATAGCTGTTTCCTTTTTATAAAACATATTTCAAGTAAGTACGTAAGGGACAGATGGACCAATACATTTCCCTTAAAGTATATTCTAAAGTACTTTAAGTTTTGCGATTCAAGTATGGATAAATAATATATTTATCCATTCATTTTTTTTATTTCTTTTGCATCAATATTTTTGCAATATCATCTGGCTTTCTGATCAATGCTTCACTCTGCCATTTGAAGTAAGATCCAATACTTCGGGAAAGATTTATCAAATTGCTTCAATAAATAACATCTTTTACTATCTTGAATGCTTGATTAAAATGATCTCCTGCTCTTGATTGTTTCTTGGTCTTTCTCTGAACAAGTGTTTATAACTTATTTGACAAAGATGCTTTCAACTGCTTAAAAAGTCTTATCATGTAAATCATGACTTTCAAAGGTTTTGTCACCATTAGACTGTTTCAGTAGTGATTCCTTGCAATATTTTGTAATTTTTGTAAATATATTTCACAATAACTACAAAATATTATTTCCGGTCCACATTTTTTCTTGCTTTTACCTGTAGTTAATTGACAGAAAAATAATTTTCACTGCCATTTTTTAAATCCAATGTCAAATTGTCATTCTTATTCCACACAGTTTTCATCCACACATGTTTCACTATAAACCTAAACTTACACTGAAACTTTATTAATCAAAAACCTAAACACATCATACTCTTAATATTGTAATAAACGTTTACAGCAATTGTTTTATCCATCCATCCCTTGTTATACCGTACTACTTTTTCCTATAATAATGTTTTTTTTGACTGCGTTGATTTATCAAAAATGAAGGTACCTTTACAACACGCATTATAAAAGGTGGATATTCTTCAGTATCTTCTAATTTTGCATCTGGAACACCAGGAACCACACTCCAACCCCACTGTATGTTTTTACTTTTTGGAATATCATCTGCATTCTCTTCTTGCTCCCTTGTTGCTTGTTGATTTTGTTTTTTGTTGCCTAAACATGTCATATAAAATAGATAACATTCAAGCTTAACATTTAATATAATAAAGATTACAGATCCACTTTTACAATCACAACAAATTTCTTCTAGATTCAAAAAAGGTAAATGTACAGGTTTTGTTTAAACATTAATAAGATTTTGAAATTTGACTTTGTACTAAATAATTCCAAAAATTACATTTCAATCATACAAAAAACGAAAATGGTATTTAAAATAAATAGCATAATTATTGATAGTACTAAACTGTGTTATTCACACAGTTTCATTGAAAATTCCAGAAAACTGGCAACAAAAAATGTGTACAAATGACACATAACTGTATTTCTAAATATCAAAGAAATACAATGTTAAGTTATTTCCAATTTCTAAATAGAAATAGGAAATTCTCTATATTACTTTATATGGTTTGTAATTACTCTAAACAATCATTACGATTGTTGGTATTATATCAAATTAAAATTTGATGTGCCGATTAAAAATATCTCTTATCCTTTCTCAGTTAAGGGTTAAGGATTCAATGTTTAAGAAAATATCACCACCCCATTAGAAAACACATCTTCTGATGACGTATGAAATCTACTGTAATCAATTTAGAATCACTCATTTCAATCATTCTATTATCCTAGGTTAGGAACAGTTTTGTTTCCTTTTTTCTAATACAAGCTATCTGAGCAAAGCCCGATAGCTTTTGTACCTTCACATCTGACAAGTACATACAAGTCAGTGAAGTGAAAGCCAAACTAATTATGTAACATTTTATACTTACATACAAATTTCCATCGATTATGATGTAATTGATCTAAAGGAATATGTCTATGTGGTTCAATTTTACATATAGCTGTTCCATATAATACGTCATTCCTATCTAACCATTTTTTGTAGCATGGGTATGAGTAATTGATCAAACCAGCCAGTCTTGAAAATTTAATTTCTAAATTTTCTTGCTTCTCTTTCAACTAAAAAAAGTTGAAAAGTTACAATTAATTTTCAATACTAAAATTACATAACAGTTAGAAAAAAATCTTACTTTGTCCTTGTACCATAGTTCACTTTCCTTGAACTCTTCTTGTTCTATTTTAAGTTGAGTTTTCATTTTAGTAGGAACAATATCTTTATCCCAATCTTCTTCTTCATTATCATTTTTCTTTTCATCTTGGATTTCTTCTCTGTCAGTCTTATTAAGTTGGCTGCTGTAATCCTCAGTACTCTTCTCATTCTTTCCTGCTTGATCAACTTCTTCTTGAATAACAAAAGTGTCAGATGTTAAAACTGTGTTTTCAATCTCATCAAAGTGCATCATAATTTCTTCATCTGTCAAATCAGCTTTTAGAAATACTGATTTTTTTGGTGTAACATTTGGTTTATTTTGTTCGGTTTTTTTCTGATTCATTGCACCAGAGTTCTTCTGAGGGGCTGGATTAGAATTCTTTTGAGGCAGCATATTAGAATCATTCTTTTTTGAAGGGACACTGGTATTTTTTTGAGGAGATTTCACTGGAATTTTCTGAGATTCGTTTTTAGAATTTGCTTCATTTTCGGTATTATCATCTTTTTCTGACTTATCAGAAAAAGTTATTCTCTGAATAGGTTTTTTAACTGGAGGTGTTGTAATATTCATAGTTTTGGATTTGGGTCCTGGTTTCTTTCTTGGAACCGGAATTTCTTCTGGTTGGGATAGAAATTTTTTAGTTAAAGAAATGTCCAACTTCTTGAGTTGAACAGTAGGTTCTCGTCTTTTATTACTGAATTGAGGAACTCTTGGACGCTCTTCTTCTTCTTCAATATTTTCAGAAAAATCTTTGGCTACACTCTCTAAAAACTCATTCTCTTCAAAGTCAATGGAGACGTCTAAGATATTGTCAGCATTGTCTCCGCTATTCTCATCTGCATGTGAAAAATCCTCATTACCACCAGTATCTTGTTTTTCCCTTTCATAGTCTTCAAGGTCTTCATTAATATGTTCCTCTTCATTGCCATCATACGAAATGACCTCATCCTCATCCTCCCCGACACACTCATCCAAAACTTCAAAGTCACCCATATCCAATGTAGGATAGTCAGGTTCATCTATATTGATCCATCAAGTAGTGTGAGTTTAAAAGTAATATATAAATAATGAGTACAGATATAGATAAGAGACAAAGTAAATCAATTTAATGTTGAAAATTGTGCCGGATCTCTACAAATTCCAACATTTAAATCAATAAACTAAAAGCGCATTCTTACTGATGGACGATTAGAACTTATTAGTCTCTTATAGAATAAAAATAATATTATGTTACATGGCCAGTTATTATCGTGAGAATACAAGTGCCTATGATGTTTGAATAAACCGTGATATGCTAGTGGGGAAAAAAGTCATCATATCACTTACCCATGATTAAAATGATTCAAGACGAACGATTCACAGCAATTTGATCCAAATAAATTGAAGCTCGTTATTTTTTATTAAAAAAATATCGCACACTGGCCCGTAGATAGTCGGCTGTCCAACACAATGCTGTTATGAATCCCGTTGCATTCACCTTTTCCGAAAATTTCTTCTCCCTCAAGAAGGCACGTTACGCCATAACATTCCCAACGCCAGCGAATGCGATGGCCGCTGAAAGAAAAGGAGCGACCGGAACGACTGCTCTAATCAAAATGGCTTCTCTCTTCTGGCCTTATGCTTTGCGGATGCGTACAATACAAGCGGCAAGCCGTGTTGCGCTGACGGGTGGCGCGGTTGACCGACATTCACAATCGAGAGTCTCGAGATTCGAGTCAACGCACTCACCGGAGTCCCACTGATTTAATGGCGCTAAAATTAAATTTTTATGTTATATTTATTGAAGTAATTATATTAATAATTCATATAAGTCATTTGATGTTATAAGAAATAAATGAATAGTGCTATAGCAATTTTTTAATCTAATTTTTAAAAATAAAATAGTAACTGTATACAAAAAAAAATTATTTTAAATTGCTAGACTTTTTTTGAATATATCACCATTGTCATCGCTGAAAGAGAAGTCTTTGTTTTAAGTTTGGATCAATTATTGAAATAATTTTACAGCAGCTTCATTTTTCAACTAATTGAAGAAAGCTTTCTAACTTCAGTTACTTCAATATCTACTCGCATCATTCCACGAACATCTTGTCACGAACATGTGTCTCTATATTAAAATAGCAAGCTTGGCGTGTAAAGAACATTTCAATCTATTCGATCCTACATTATTTAATTGGGTCGAGCTTCGATTCAACGTAATTGAAAAAAGTAAATTAACTGTAAGCTGAATTGAGCATTTCATTATTTATTGTCAAATGTTTTCAAAATTTATTATTATGCGTCTTATATCATAGTCAACGAGCTTGTTCGCATATTTTGCAGTATTACAGACCCTTTATAAACGAATATCTCAGTAATCTCTTTATCGTCGTTCCTTCACTCCTTTCGAAGAAAAATCACTTTCGACAATTACAATTCTCCTTAAAAAAAGCTCAATCCTGAAGCAATCAACTAAAGCATGTGGGCCAAAGCGTGAAAACGAGCCAAAAAAGGGATCGAAAATCAGTAGTTAGAGTCAGTGTATAGCTCGGACACGTATATATCCCTCTGTTCGTAAAATAAAGGAGCGAGAATCACGCAAAGTCGCTGCACTCGCAACGACGTATACGTATATATTAGGAGGGGGTGGCAGCAGTCCTCACTGTAAGGTAGTACTTTGGTGTAGGTGTCCGCATGCAGGGGTACGAATCGCGCAGACGCGTCGTTTATGGATTTTCCTCCGTGGAACGAGAGAACGAGGAGGCGAACAGCAGCAGTAGCGTCGCGGCGCTACACACTCGAGTCGCTAGCCTGTGCACACAACCCCTATCGTCGTCGTCTCGTCGACCGGCGCGTAGGGGGGATGCATACATCTACATCGCTCTCTCCGTCTGTGTGTGCGACTGAGAGAGCCAAGAGTTTTCTTTTTGGTTTGAATGCCTATTCGCATCGCTAAATTCATTGTCATCGAGTTTTTATTTTCATATACTCTCTCTCTCTCTCTCTCTGTCTCTCTCTATTTATCTTTCGTTTTGTGGACGAGAGTCATGTGACTGTGCATGTGTGTTGTGTCTCGGTGCGCCGAGGTGCGCAACTGACAACACGTTGTGCCGGTCTAAACTGCTGTCTAAGAGTATATCTGCATTTCACTTTTTTTCATCGATGTCAACGATTACCTCGGACCTAAGATAGATTCGCATATCTGCTGCTCGGTAAGTCTGTTTTTCTTTTAATCGAAAGGGGCGTGTTTATGGTGATTTTGATGGCCGTTAAGGGAAACATTTTTTTTCTTCGACACAACTTTTCCGAAGGTGGGCGTTGCGGAATGTCCTTCCAACTGCAGTGAACACAATTCAGAACGTTACACAGAGACTTTGGATCACTTTCCTAATATGATCACGTTTGCAAGTGTTGTGACAAGCCTGGTTTATCTTTGTTGTGTGCTCACGATAAATATAGGTTATTGAGTTAATACTGATTTAATGTCTTATCGTAATTCACTATCGTCGTTGTGATATACCATGCTGTTCATACATAATTAAAACGAAAATCGCTTTCTATCATTTTTAAAAACTTTCGCTGCAAAATGAACGAAAACAAAACTCGGAATAATAAAATATCTATCATTGCAACATGTCATGAAAAGTAATGAATTACAAAACGCGTAAAGTATGATAGTTAAGTAAAAGTTAGTAAATTAATTTGAAATACGTTATTTGCTTGTACATAGTACATTAAATAATAGGACATTGCGTGCGACAAGCTAATAAAAATAGAATTAAGAGATTTATGCGTACAAGATTTTTGCAATGATGACTTAATTAAACATGTATAATTACACTCTTCTATCGATCGGCTAGCAACGTGGGCTATTCCAAGAAAAAGTAAAACCACAAAACGTTTCGCCTTGTTCAATTCTTCTGCGATAAAAAACAGATGAAATATTTCTCTTACCAAATAATACCGATATACTTTTAGAGTGATAAATATGTCACTGTACAACAGAAGCTCGCTGGCACGTAAAACTTTTTGAGTAGAGTGTATCGGCAATTAATAGTACAACACCGGACGACGTAACAAGGCTCTCTCTCTCTCTCTCTTTCTCTCTCTCTCGTGCCAATCCGTAAGCGATAATATTTATGCTCGTGGTCACTATTTGCGGTCAGGATAAAAAAATATTTCTTCGTTGTCGGGTTTTCGCTATTAAGTCCAAGCGACGGTAGGTAGCAAGCGCAATTCATAGAAAAGTCCTCGACCGCTTGTCGGCTGCGTCGATAAGATATTGTCAAACTAAATTGCGCGACAGCCATGTGCTCGCACCCGTGCCTCGACATGCTTTAGTCAGCTTTTGACTTGTCATCGTTTGGCTTATGTTTCGCTTTTTTTTATCTTCTATTGATGCGAAAGCTTACGCAAGGTTCAAAGTGATTGGGATTTGGAGTGTCGAGAGAGCTTGGCCAAACAAAACGATTTTAATTAAAACCGCCAGGCTTTTATTTTGAAGTGTCATTCACAGTAACATAAATATTAGACGTCAGAATGAAATAAGCGTACGGTAACATATTTTTTTACTCATACTGTGACGTCTACTTACTTACTGCAGCGTGCAATTATTTATTTTGTGTGACATTTATGACCAGTGTGAAAATCTGATGATATAACATTTAGTGAACCTGTTTAATTGGATTTATCGCAAAAATATGATCAATGTTGAATATAAGCAAATGTATTGGTTATAAATTAACGTAGAAATATATACTTACAATTAATTATAAATATATACTTACAGTTAATTTATCTATATGTCAGGGTCTCAAGAGTCTCGTGACATTGGCTCAATTATGTTGTGAAATTAAGCAAAAACTTGTCCTTCTGTAACTTCTAGTTTGAAACGTTTGTTAATTCAGTAAATATTTTATCTTGTCTGGTGAGACCTATTGATGAGTATTTTGTTTCAATGACCTCTGAAGTATTTTCGGACAATTTTTGATAAAGATCGGAATAGACTTGTAAATCACAACTATCGCAGACCACAGAGAAATGAACACCCAAACACACACGCGCACGCATACACATACACGCACACACACAGATGTCCAACTTCAAAACTAATATTAAACGCAATTCAGCAGGCAGACAAGCAGCAGCAGCGAAATGTGTCTACGGCAAATAATGGTGATCATCACCTTACTAGACGTTTCATAAATTAAAAAAGGGGAGGTGCTGCAATAAACATAGTTAGAGAGTCGGCATGGCTCTGCCGCGGTTATCGCTCAAGAGGTGCTTCCTATATGTGGTCTGTCTCACGGGGATGCTACTTGTGTTGGTGAATGTACGCCAGAAGGGCATTTGGCCAGGAATCAGATCGTCAAATGAGCAGCTGCAGCCTGCCAAAATCGTAACTGAGAACATCAAAGTAAGTTTATTGTGATTATTCTTTATTTCAATTCGAACGACCGGTTCGTTCTATCATTCTGCACGCGCGTTCTAGTTTAAAAAAGGCACGTGGTATTTATTCATTTTTATTTATCTGCGATTTTTTCAATCAATCTATCAATGTGACCTTCGAGGGCAAATGTATTATTTTTGCATTTTTTGTGCAGTGGTTATTGAAAAATTGTAGGTATCAATAGGAGGAAAACTTTACCGTTGCTTTTATACGATGTATTATTGAGTTTATACAAAGAGAAAGAGAGAGAGAGAGAGAGAGAGAGAGAAGAGAGAGAGAGAGAGAGAGAGAGAGAGAGAGAGAAGAAGAGAGAGAGAGAGAGAGCCAAAGTGTGACTACCATATCTAAGCTAATTACTCCGATAAGTAACTTTGTAATGAACATAGAAATAAATTAGCTTGCACACTGCATAAAATTATTACGCGAGGATTTTTATTTTATCAGTGCTGTCGATTTATGTGATGTCATTTTATTATATTTATATAGTTTTTCCATGCATGCTTTATGTTGATGTGTTGGAGCAATTATTTGAATAAAAGGCTATTGATCATATGAAAAATAGGTTTTACAATTAAAAATCTTACAAATATAACTCACATAAAAAATATGAATTTATAAACATCTTTCTAATTGGCAATAATGCTAATGTTAGCTAGATTTTCATAATAAGTCCTTCCAGCGAAAATTCAAGACGTATTCATGAGAGAAAATGAAATGAATAAGACAATCCATTAGAAAAATGACATGAACGACAGACAGTAAAATTGTCTCCTTCCACTAATTTTTTTTAACTAGCATAGCGTTTTGTGATATTGAGGTGTAATCCGATAGTAAAGAAAAATGTTGTGCTCCTTGCGAATTAAAAATTTTCATTTTGTTCGAATTTCACACAATGCAGATGAAACCTCTATCGCAGCCTGCGAAACCCGTGACAAAGGCGAAGAAGGTCTCGCGAGTACAACTGAGACCCGTACTGAGAAAGTTTCCAGTTGAGGTAAAACGCCGTGCAAAATTGTGCACTGGGCTGGCTACTTATTAAACGTACATGACTATGTAATTATTATATACACATTGTACTATGTTGTTATTCCTTAATATAATATAATAATAGTACTAAAATTACCTTGTAAATAAAGAAAAGTTATTTACATATATGTACATATGCTAGCTTCTAAAAGTCTAATTTATTATGGACGATAAAGTGAGCTTGCATAATGCATTGAATTCTGTAGTGGCATGCAACAAACTGTATATCACTGAAACGTGATCAAAATAGAGAACAGAGTCATTTATTATTTTCCAAGATTAATATATACATAGATTCTGCGAAAGTGCAATATTATAGACTGCGAATACATCAGCGTAGATTTTGCATGTGGAAAGACAATGTAAAGAAGTATAAACATGATGAATTTGTTTCAAAGTGAGAACTGACTTTTTAAATAAGTACCCAGCCCATGTAACATCGAGAGTAAAGAAAAATATTTAGATGACTGCAAGCGTGAACGCGCAAAGTATATATACAATGCCGAGAGCGAACTCGAAAAGTTGCACTGCAGCAAAAAAAGCACGCGCAAGCTTAGTCCGTTGTACTATATATATTTGCTTTTAAATCAACGACCCCATCATACAAAATTACATTTTCGCATTCTAGATACATAGATTACAGCTCAAGAATGAAGTGGCTTGTTAACTTTTTCTCTCTTAGAGGCGAAGAAGATTAGAATTTAGGCAATATAAGTGTATGATTATGATCATATTTTTTTTTAAATAAAAATCACGAGTAAAAATCTTTCATTCAAACAGACGAGTTTCTAGTGTAGAAATTTATAACAAAATGAGTTTATTTAATTTGGTAGATTTTTACTCTTCAACACAAAAAAGCTAAGGTGTGTTTTATAAATTTCACTCTACCCACAAATGCAGCTCTTGCCTCACCACTTTATATATAGTATACATTTCTATATAAAAGCATTAATATAACACTGTGCGTATGGAGTGCTTATAAAAAAATTCAAGAAAAAGTTGCGTTTCTGCACTTTTTAAATCCACACTTTTTAACTTTACTATGTGCAATGACTGCAATTTTTATAATAAAAATTTGTTTCACACATTATCTAAATGCAACTATTTGAAATTAATAGAAAGCAATTGATAGCGATAGTGATTTAAATAAAATAATAGCTACATGCTAAAAAGAATTTCGTTGATGCAGGTATTGAATACAACAGGGATTTTAAATGCTATCGAGAGTATAATAGACATAAACGACCCATTGAAGAAGCCATGGTACATGAAGGGCGGATTAAAAAGGCCAATCCCGGCTGCTAGGTCGCGTCGTACTGGTCGAAGACTTGCTCGACTTTGGCCTGAAGAAGATCCTCATGATGATCGAGTGACGAATCAAGTAAAATTATTACTTAATCATACAAAAATTTCCAGTTGTTTTTATTCTAAATTGAATGAATTTTTGTTATAGCTGATGTTTTTACCACCGGAGTACAATAAGTCAAGTCCAGACATACGCTTCAAGAAGATTTACATTCCACATGGTATGAATGATGCGAAGAGTGGCCCAGATCTCTTTTTTCAACAAGGTTGTCCTGTAAACACTTGTATGATAACACGTGATAATCCTAATGACGCAGACTTGATCCTTTTTAAGGATTACGTAACGCATGTAGGTCGACGAAATCCCAACCAGGTAAAACAAATACTGTCATCTTTTACAAATTCGAAGCTTCTGTCACGAAAATCTTGAATTATTTAAGAGAACGTTGAAAGTATTTTTCAATATTACGAGACAAACATAAATCATAGATCTTGCCAACTACTTTCAGAACGACAATAATAATTTAGGATCGTTTTTGCAGGTATGGATGTTGTATTTTTTGGAATGCCCGTATCACACTCAAAGTGTGAAAAGTGCTATAGTGAATTGGACTGCAACTTATCGACGAGACAGCGATATTGTTGCTCCATACGAACGATGGCAGTATTACAATCCGAAGATCATGCAAATACAACAGAATTTTAATTATGCTGCCAATAAAACAAAGAAGGTAAAATTATCGTTGCACAATTTTTCAAAGTTGCATGTACAGATATATGAAATTACCCAAAAGTATAACAAGAATATAAAGACGACCGATATTTTCTTATAATTACAGGTTGCTTGGTTTGTGTCTAATTGCCATCCACGCAATCACCGTATGCAGTATGCCAAAGAGCTTTCAAAGCATATTCAAGTGGATATTTATGGAGCTTGTGGCACTTTAAGGTGCTCGCGTACACAATCGCAAGCTTGCTTTGATATGCTCGACGCCGACTACAAGTTTTACTTAGCATTTGAAAACTCCAACTGTCGTGATTACATTACTGAAAAGTTTTTTGTCAATGGTCTAGGGTAAATATTTTCTTATAAACACTTAATTTTATAATGTATTATTCATTTTCGAAAACTAAAACTTTGCTGTCAACTTCTTTATAAAATGCATGATCAATATTGTAATTAATGTCTGATCGGTGATCGGTACAGTAGGTTTCTGTAAATGGAATTTTTAGAGTATGGTGATATAAATTTATATGAAAACCGTTAATTATCTCTGTTGATGAGATTTAATTTTTATTGACAAAAATATTAAAACATAGATATTTGAAGCATGTTGACCAAAAACGTACTTTTCTACTTAATTAATACGAAAATAAATTTCGCCGAGTTGCTGCAACTAACAGGAGTTTCATATTATGCAGGCACAACGTACTGCCAATTGTGATGGGCGCCCATCCAACGGATTATGCTCGAAGTGCGCCATATCGTTCCTACATTCACGTGGACGAGTTTGAATCGCCTCGAGAATTAGCCGAATACCTTCACCGACTGGACAACGACGATGAACTTTACAACTCGTACTTCAAGTGGAAAGGTACAGGAGAGTTTATCAATACGTACTTCTGGTGTCGAGTTTGCGCGATGTTACACGACGAGCGACGAAAGCCAAAGCACTATAAAGACGTGAACGAGTGGTGGCGAGGTGACGGTGTGTGTGCCGCTAACTCCTGGCGCGAACTCGATCATTTGAGAGATACCTGAGAGGAACTCACAACAGCCACTATGGCTGATAATACTTTTACAATCTTTATCAAGGGAATAAATCGATAGAGGTTTTCAAAGCTCCGTTTTGGCATAATGGTTTTGTCAAGTGAATTCTCGGAGTTCAAATTGACAGGAATTGTGATTATTTATTTTCAGACAAGTATATCTCGGCGCACAACTCGGATTATTTGTTGATGTCATGTTTTTATTAATTTGGCTGATTTTCATGAGTTACAATTAGGTGTAATACTTTGAACTGAAGTTCAAAACTATTCTGAAAAATTTAGTGTTACATAAATTAACAATAATATTATAAGACGGAAGTCCTAAAATAAAAAAATGGCACATTATATTCTGTTATGATGAATTTTCACGTGAAATATGTCAACAAAGCTGTTATATTCTGATAGATAATATATACGTTTATGCAGAAAAGGAAGCTTAGGTCTTTATTAAATTTTATTAAATTGATATGATTAGATCGATTGTTTCTAATTATTAACTTCAGTTATTACATTATTGTTACTTTATTAACAGGAAGTCATGTAAAATATCAATCATGTTTAGAAAAGCCCTTGGTACTAAACAAAGACGAAAGACAATGATGATTACAATAAAAATAAACAAATAGTTTTGAAGTATATCGGAATGTTCAATTTCTGATGGTACTTCAAAATTTCATTATTAGGATAGAAATCAGAGGTGTCTAATATAAGGCCCCTGAATATTTTTTTAGCGTAGAAAAAAAATTGCATGTGTTTCGTAGTAAGTAGTCGCAGACACGTCTGGCGAAAAATTCAGAATATAAATATGTGCCATTTTCAATATGAATCAAAATTAATGGGAAATAATCTTGTACAGGAACTTCATATTTTCAGAAACTGCTTGAGGAAACATTTGTTTTGAAAAGTAATATAAGATCTCAAATATTAAACGTATGAAGCATAATAAAATAATCAACTAATCAACTTACATGGTAAAAGTCTATATATTTTTCGGTGCGATATTAGTTTCATTTACATTTATTTGTTTCACCAACCTGCAGACAGCATTTTCAATAATAAGTCAAACTGAATATGAGCTGTTTTATACTTTTAGATAATACGAACAAAAAATTTAATACAATATAGCGCATAAATCATCGCAAAATGCGAGTATTTTGACGTAGCACAATTTTTTCATATTTTTAATGTATGTTACAGCATATACATAAATTTAAATAGTTCCTAGGGTATATTTTATACTTCAGTGATCGCGAATGAGCACCCGTTACATTATTATGTAACGTAAATCGAAAGAAACTGATGGGATTGAATCGATGCCATGAGTCGATTTTCTTGTATATTTTGGATTTCAAAAATGTGTTATGATGTTTTGATAATTGAAATAGATGTATGAATTTCCGTTGCAAATATAAAACTTAGATGACACTCACTTGTGCATAACTTAATCAAATTTTTTGATTAAAAGATATTTTTCACTTTCTTCGCTATGACTATGATTTCCACAAAGTTATTTGTATTTGTTATACAATTTGATATGTTTATCAGTCATTCGAATTGACTTTTATTTTCTCGGCTCATTTTATTTCAATCCGATTATAGTTTTACGCCAAGGATCATATGCATTTATTTAACATATGTTAGCTCATATTCGTCACTCTTCGTTAAATAATATTATTTAACGAAAAGTTATCATTTTAAATGCACAAAAGCTAGTTGCAATAGGAAGATACCGAAAAATGTAATTCAAATGCGCCGAATGGATTACTGTTAATGACAAATACCGCGACTGACTAAATGATGAAAAAAAATCGAACGAGATTTTTTTCTCGACTGTGTTAGACGACGTTCGACATTCGAAATACAGTCCATACTAATTAAGAATAACAACTGAATTAGTTAGAGTGAAGTTTGTTTAAATGATAATTATTACTCAATAACGACGAGTTGATCTTGTCATTTTGTAATAGACTAAAAATTTCCATAATACGAATCTTGTTAAAGAATTGTCAATTGTCACGTAAATGTTATAGCACATTCAATTGCGTAAAAACTTTTGTACAGTTCTTTCAAATTGTAAGGATTATCAATTCGATTGACATATCGTTTTAGTTAAAGGGTTTTAAATATAATTAGGTAGGAAATTACATATGATATAGACATGGATTTATTGTATCCATTTGAAAAGATTCTTTCTACAATATTGTATCTCAATACATTATTTTTTTGCATAAAGATACTTTTTATGTCAGTTTGTTAAGTCTATAGTTAGAAAAAATTTTCGTAGTGACTCAATCATATTTAATAAATATTGATTATTAAAAATTTAATGCAAACACGGTCTTGTCAAAAGCTCGAAAAAAATGGTGCTGATAGTTTTGTATAAAATATGATTTGATTCTATACATTTTACATCGAATATATACGTAGGATTCTAATTAATGAGCGGTTGTCTGTATTATATCCTGTATCTAGTCTACGATTAATGATTTTGTAAATAGTAGCTTGTAAAACGTTAATCGTTACTGTGCTCGTAAAGGTTATGTAAAAAATGTTAGGTAATTTGTACGAGAGAAAAGAGAATGCAGAATCTGCATATAATCATAAAAATAAAATGTAAGTGCAATGGAAATCTGTAGTATTGAAATATTTTTGTAGTTAATTGCTTTAGTATTAATTGCTAATAATTTATTATTTAAAATTTGCCACGAATAATCAAAGTTTTATTCGAAACACAAAAGACAAAATAATACAAATTTCTATGAGCATTTAAATATTTTCTAGTCATTTATAGAGATTTGGATGCTTTTAGTTAATTGTTACAAAATTATTTATATTTCATTATATTTGACTGATTCGTATTACATCTTAATCATTTTTATTTAGATTTTCATATTTTTTTAATATGAAATTTCTTTATTGATGTTTCAGTTCTACTCATCATATTTTATTCAACGTAAAATATCAATGTTGAGCTATTATTACGAAATAAAATAACGATAAAAACGAAAATAAAAAGTAATCAACCTTCTCATTTCCCTAAATATCCTTAATCATTCTTTGATTAATATCATACGAAGAACTAAAATATTTAGACTTAGATAATTTCTTCGGTGCAGGCAAGCTTATTTTTCAATGAAATTTTACTTTAATACACATTGCTTTTCCAATAAAAATTGATGAAATGTTGATTTTGTAAGAGTATTAGGAGTTTATTTTTAACAATTTCGTTTATTACATACATCTCGACTGCTATATCATATTCTAAGGATATTTTAACATATTTCTACAGAAATATACATGTCTGAAAAGTGAAGGAATGCAAAGTGAAAGTCAGTCGAATACCCAAGCGCATTGGAGTTAGTAGGAAGTTGTGGTCGAACCTGCTCGGTCGAGCTTACAGATAGATCTCCAATTGTTTCCAAGACCCATAGTTATATTGAAAAAATTGCTGGAAATCTGTTGCTGAAGTAGTGTCAAGAGGGAAGATACGAAATATTCATAAACGTAATTAAAACTCGTTTACATTTTACTGAGGAGGGCCAAGGCGCGTAATGACATTCATGGCTATAGCTACATTATTCATCGACATTCTAGCTCCTACTGGGGTACTGTACAAATTCTCTCTCCCTCTCTCTCTCTCTCTCGCTCTCTCTCTCTATCTATCTATATATTTATCTATCTATCTATCTATCTTTGCTTATCTATATGCATGCATTGAGGCACGATCGTAGCTGAACTATTATTACGAGGCATTTTCGTCGTTCTTGATTGGTTTATTGCACAGCGCATTGGAAATAATATCGAAGCTTTATCCATTGGTTTTGCGTTTAGTTTTATAGGTAATTATAATTTATATTCCGGCACACCAACGTGTCTGTAAATTAAGTTACTTTATGGGCCTAATAACAATGTACTTTAATGTCTTGTTTTAAGTTTAAAAAAAAATAATTTTAACGAGTATAGCGTATTTAACAAAAAGAATAAATATTGCTTCAAATAACAGTGTATTAAATTGAACTCAATGAACCGATAGAAAGTTTATTATAAACATATATCAATGAATAAGCAATAGCATTATCATCCGATATGAAAATCCTTTTGTGATAATGAGTAAATCATAAATTTTATTACAACGATGAAATAACAATATTGTTATGTGGCTATTATATTAATGTGTAGAATACATAAACTTATTTAATTCTTCAATGTAACTTCACTTTTTAATTAACCATCTATAAATAGCAATTTATTTGTAACAGAGAAAACAATTGTTTTTTATTGACGCAATTTGCACGAAAAACCCCAATAACGACCAACTAGTTATTATAAAGCGAAGAGAAAAACAGCGAATTTTCAAAGAGAATAGAAGATTTTTTTAGGTATATACTCTTGAGCGAGAACATTTCACAGTTTGATGCACTTTCTACGAATCAATTCGCACGCTCGATTGTACATCTGAAGCATAAGCCTCAGGGTAAACTAGCGTGTGTATTTTTTTTCTAATCTTTTTTTATGTCTGTTCTTTTGAAAAACAACCGAGAGAGATTTTCGAATTATACATCGTGCAGTGGCTTCCTTCTTTTTTTATTTTGCTTCCCCACTGGTTCTGTGCAGTGCGAAGTACACTTTTCGGGTTGAAACGCGGTAGAATAGAAAGGGGTTAGCGGCTAGATGCCTCAGGTGGATTAAGCTCACAACTTCAAACGATTATTCTTCTTTTTTTTCTCGCTTGCACAAGTTGCACATGCTTCAGCTCTCGTTTGTTAGTTGCTAGCTCTTTTATTGTGAGCGTGGTTACTCTTTGTCGAACAATATATATTTTGTTCGATATTTTAAGTTTATTCTTGTGGTTGTTCACTCACAAAATAAGTTGAGTAGTACAGAAAACAAAACTTGTGTTAGTTTACTATAACTATAGGTCTGATAAATTCTTGCAATAATCATGGAACGAAGCCCAATTCTTTTTTCACATCAAGCACCGATGGATTTGACAGCACCATCTAACATAGCCAAGAGTGAGAGGAAGAGAGAGAGAGAGAGAGAGATAGGGGGGGGGGGGGAGGGATTAATCGTGTCTTTGCCTTGGAGCGTAGTGCATTATACAAGCTATCCCCGTATGCACAGCAGTAAAGCTCTCTGCAAGCCGTCAATCGTAACTCGCACGTGTGCTAATTGTTATGTGTGTGCACGTAATGCTGTTATCTTGGCGAAATTTTCCGCGCTAGACCAACGTGAAATGAGAATTTGCACCAGGTAATATTCGCGATTCGCACGAGTGGCTAAGCAATTTTAGCATTGGATTTCTGTTTGCTTTTAACTTCAACGCTGCCACACACAAGTGTGGTATATTTCGTGAAGTTTGTAACAAGTAAAGCAAAGTGGATAATCGTGTTTGAGCGAGCCCCTGCGAAGCTTAAGCTTGATTTGGTTATTAAAGTATAACTTTGATAATAAGATGTTACAGGTCGAGTGGTCGTGCATACCTAAGTCGGCTCCGATAATGAGCATTAAAATTTAATTATTAACCCGACGGAGGGAGGAGGAACAGGAGAGGGACCAAGTTATTAGGCCTACTAATTCTATGTTGCCTGAAGTTTCATAGCATTATTTACTCAATTTGATCATTTTTCGAGCAAACTAAGATTTTCTTTTTTTAACCGTTTGATTTGATTGCGCACGCTAAAACACGATATTATGGCATAATTATTCTCAACGTTCCCACAAGAGCAAGCATAATAGAACTTTCCATGAGATCATGAGGTGGGGAAAAAAGAGAGTAAAAATAAAAGTGAGCACGGATTATTATTGAAAACTGATTATCTCCGCGAGAAAGCACAGCTTTACTCGACGATTAGGTGCGCGCGGTCGAGTAGCTAGGCCTTTTTTTATTTTCCTAAAAATAGCCGCGCGAACGCCTCGCGGTCGATTAGTCCCTTGTTTTTTCTTGCTCCTTCCCTCTCACACCTTCGCCCCATTCGTAGAACAACGCACTTACGTGCAAGCACCGTGAGCGCTTATTGAGTAGCCAAAGCTTTCTCCAAGCGAATACACGATTATCGGGCAATAAGCGCCGCGCAATACACGCAGAGAGACATGCATACGTATATATAGCGTATACGGGAGCGAGGGAGGCAACGACGTGGCTAATGCGCTTGGCAATTTGACAAACCGAGCGAAGAATCTGTTGGCTCGCCCGGTGAAAGTGTTAATATATGCGCGAAAATTGCTATAGGTTTGCGCGCCACATGCTTCAGCACGTAACGCGGTCGCTTCCTTCGATGGGCGCGAACGGACGAGACTAACTCATGTGAAGTATCGCGTGTACACGCGTTGAAGCTCTGACGGACGGCCTTCTTCTCCTCTCTTCTTGTGTGAACGATTTCACGGGCGACGATTTCTTCTCTTTTGCCGATCTCCTGTCTTTTGCTCGATTCTCTGTGTATTTAATAGACTCTTATATATACGACGGAGAGAGGACTTTTTGCACCCTCTTTTCCTTTGCTCACAAAGGCTACTGTTGCCACTAGCGGACGGAAAGGGGTTTTACTCGTACAAATTTATTAGGATCAATCGCGATTAATGGCGTGTGGCAACCAAAATTTTTTTATCATTCTCCGTTGTTAATTTTATCTAAAGTTTTATCGTAGATTATAGACAAGATAATTTTTTCACTTTATTTTTTTATCCTCGTCGAATTTCGAACTACAAATAGCAAATGTTATTTGGAAGTTTTCTGTTTCAAAGCTTAACATGCGATCAATCGGTGACTTTCTGCAGGACATTGTAATTACTTTCATGTCAACATTTTTTCGATAGGATGGGACTACTGATGAACCTAGAAAAAGCTAGGAAGAACATGGAACTGAATGGAATAAAACGAACGTTACCCTCTACTTTCGCACGTTCTTAATTTATGCAACTCTGGCAAACAAACTTGCAAGAAAAATTCAGCATTGTCACCTTTTACGCTGTGAGCACGTCGACGTTTTTTTCTATTTTTTTTTCCATGTGTCAGCGTCACCAGCCCCCTTTTTCGCTTCTTTCGCTCTTTTCGTTTCATCTCCCTTCCTCTTTTTCTAAAGCTTTTTCATACATGTACACACGCTCTTTCTCTAGGCTTGCGTCCCTGAAAGCGTCACGCGTACTACTTCGCCGACGGCTAACTGCATTTGCTAAATGAAGCGGGTTGGCTTAAGCTTTTCTCGCCGAGTCGGAGCGGGTACAAAATAAAAGCGTCCTGAACAAACGTGCGCGCTCGCGCGCTTTTGTTGATGTTGCTGCTAGCCTGGAAAAAGAATGATGAAAATATATATACAGAAGAAGCGAAACTCAAAATGAAACTAATTAGGTGAAAATTAATTTTTTCTTAATCTTTTCAAATTTCTAAAAACATATAAACAATGATAATGAGATCTATGATGAATTTCATTACTTACGAGTCAAATAATTTCTTGGGAAATTTTTTATCATAACAATTCGGTTGAATAAATGTCGAATATGGTATGTACCCTTACATAAAATTATAAATGGAAAATTAGGAAAAAGTAACATTTTTTAAATCTATTAGTAAAAATTTTATTTTAATTAATAATGCAAAAATATGTGCGTGTACGAAATACTTCTATTTATTTCAATCTTTTACAGATTTTGCTAACATTAATTAGTTTTTTTATCATCGTTTATCAATCATTTATTATCATACGTACCATCTTGATTACCAAAAGTTCAACAAATCGATGCTCGGCAATGTAAAGAAAGGGAAAGCGGGTATCCACTTTTGGGAAGAAAATCTTCTATATTAATTTTTTTACTTATTTTTGTTGTAAATTCTCATTTATATGAACATTTATTATTATTTACGTTTGTTGTCATGAACCTTTGTGGTCATCAAAAAACAAATAAGACATTGGCACAGGACTTATTTTT